ACTTCTAGCGTTTTTTTTATATTTGGAAAAACGCAATTGACTCTTGCGATTTTCATATTTCCGGCGGAGCATCGCCGGTAAACAGTCCAGTAAACCGTCCGCATTTCGGACTTGCGTTTTACGTATTATTTTGGATTATACGTAAAATGCATCTACCAAATGCGTTTAACGTATTCCATACGTAACATGAAAACGCATTTCGTAGATGCGTTTACGGTATTCAGTACAAAAAATGCAACCATGTTTTGCGTTTTACGAAAATAACGAAAAAAAAAAATACCGTGGGACACAACCAAAAACACAAGTGGTAAGTGAGTTTTGCATATTTTTGTCCAAAAAAAAGTCAGCACACATTTTTGTCATTTCTCTCCCCCCTCTACATATTCTTGTCATTTATCCTTCGTTGAGGCTTTGATGGTGTGCGTTCCAGCTCCCAACATCCTGCTTTAGGCCCTCCCATACATCTCTAGCTTTGGGGCATTGTCTGAAAATATGGAGAGCGGTCTCCTCTTGATCTGGACAGAAGGAGCAGCTTCCGTTCATCGTGAAACCTCTCCGCTTTCTCTCTGCGTTCCCCATAACTTTTTCATGAAGGATTATCCACAAGAGAGTTCTCATCTTCGCCGGTGCTTCTATCCTCCAAATGTTGTTCCAAACTACTTCCTGCGCATCCGAGACATATCCATGAATCACGTTATATGCTGATCGGACAGAGAACATACCTGAAGCTTCCGGTGTCCACACTGCCTCGTCGTTATTATTTGGTTGATGCCAGTTATTGCAATGCTAATTAAAAGCTTCTTCAGAAATAGCAAACCATAGGCCCGCTCAAGTGCAAATAAGTTGAGCTCCAGCTCCGAACTGTAAAAAAAGAAAAAACAAAAAAACAATTTTTTTCAAGAAAACAAAAAAGATTAACCAAAAAAAAACCGCAGTAATTTACACTTAAGTCTAAAAATAAGTTCTCAGACTCAGAAAAAAAAAAAAAAAAAAAAAAACAAGTTGAAACGTTTACCTATCCCTTCTCTGCAACTTCAACAAATACTCTTTTTTCTTTGGTGGGGGCAACTTCAACAAATGAAAGAAGATGAAAAACAATAAAATACAACAGTTTTTGCGACCACGTACTCGTCTTAAACTGGTATAAAATGAACATTTGTGTGTTTTTTTATAAAATGAACATTTGACAAATGCAAGTGGGACTTGCCTTTGTGTGTGTGTTTTTTTTTTTTTTTTTTTAATTTGGTCAACATCGACCACGTACTCGTCTGGCGGGAGCTCGGGGAGTGTTGGAAGAAGAAGCATGCAGCAGTTATAATTAGAAGGGTCTGATTGTAAATTCCCTTTTGTCTTCATTCTGTTAGTCCGTTACAACTCCCTCTTCCCGCTTCCATCTTCATATATATTGTAATCTGCCTTCTCTAATAAATCAGTTTTTCCATTCTTCTTTACCAAAGCTCCCTTACTGCTTAGTTCACATGTAAACATCTTCCATCATGGTATCAGAGGTTCCTTACCGGAACACTTACGCCGCAGCTGTGATCGGAAATCAATCCACACCTCCGATCGTCGGCGAACCAAGTCAAGCCGCCCACAACATTCCACCTCCGATGTCGACCACGATTCCACAAGGGAATCCGAGCTCAGAGCAGTAGAGAAGTCTGGAGGACATGGAGAATCCGTTCTTCCTCAGCCCAAACGAGAACCCTAGCGCAGTGCTGGTCAGTCCTCTCCTCATTGGAAGCTCCAACTATGGATCCTGGTGTGCTTCGATGCGGATCGCCCTAGAGATTAAGAACAAGTGGTGCATCGTCAATGGGAGCGTCATCGAACCGAACAGAGAACACAGACAGCATACGGCATGGAGGAGATGTAACCTCATGGTATGCTCCTGGATTTTTAAATCTGTTCATTCGTCTATAGCTCAGAGCATCTTGCATTTAGACAGTGCTAGAGCTGTTTGGGAGGATCTGCGGAGCAGATTCTCTCAACATGATGCTCAGAAGATCTCTCTCTTACAGAACGATATATATGGCCTTAGGCAGAGAAATTTGTCCATTAATGAGTATTACACCAAGTGTAAGACTCTGCGGGAAGAAATGAACACCTTAAGACCCCTTCCACAATCCAAATGTGAGCCGAAGTGTAGCTGTGATCTAATTGGTCAGATTAGAAAGGAACGTGATGAAGATCAGGTCATACGTTTCCTCCAAGGCTTAAACGATGAGTATAACATTTTAAAATCGAATGTATTAGTTCTTGATCCGTTACCGGATCTATACAAAGTGTTCGTCATGGCCGAAAAAATGGAGAGACAGATCTCATTCACTAATCTGAGCATTGGCAACTCAGACATCACTCAAGCCAATGCTGTTCATAGCCAAGAATCTTCTGAAGAGATCATTGCAGCAGTAAACACCTACAATTACAGACGAAATGGCAACAATAATAAGAGTGCAAAGTGCACTTTCTGCGGGATGAGTGGTCATACTATTGATAAGTGCTACAAAAAGCACGGATATCCACCGGGATGGATTCCGGGCTTCAAATCGAAGGGGAAACAGCAGCAATCAGTAGCAGCCTTGACGGATACCACTGGAGATTCTGGGAGCACATCTGAACAGCTCCAGAAAATTCTATTATTGCTCCAGAATCAGATTGGACAGACCTCAAACACAAAGGCCTCAGCAGCAGTGTCTCTAATGCCAAACTTCAATAATTTCAATGAAAAAGACCCTGCAACTGAAGGCAAGTACTCTAATGCTCATATCAATTCTATTTCTCCGTGTGCTTCTACTTGGATTATAGATTCCGGGGCTACGGATCATATCACTTGTTCTCTTGATTTCTTCCTTGATTATCATGCTGTTCAAGGAACTGAGGTGCATTTACCTACTGGAAATCACATCACTGTCAGGCACATAGGGAATATTGCCATCAATGGTGGAATATGTTTGAAGAATGTTCTTCATATCCCCTCCTTCAAATTCAACATCATATCAGTGAGTAAACTTTTACAAGATGATTGCTGCACCCTAACTTTTACATTTGGACAGTGTGTGATTCAGGATGCTCTTGAAAGGAAGATTGGTTTAGCTAGACAGGAGAATGGCCTCTACATTCTATCTCAGCCTTTGTCAAACGCAAGTCACGGCAGTTTTTCTGTTCAATGTAATAATGGTGTCTTGTGGCACCAAAGATTGGGACATTTTCCCATCAATAAACTTCATTTGTTGAAAGACATCAAAGTTTTAAATACTAAACATACTGCTTGTGATATTTGTCATCTAGCTAAACACAAGAGATCTTCTTTTCCCTTAAATGTTACCTCCACAAAGAAATGCTTTGAATTACTTCACGTTGATATTTGGGGGCCTTTTCCAGTTTGCTCACAAAAAGGAGAACGATATTTCCTAACTATGGTTGATGATTATTCTAGGTTCACATGGCTGCGTTTATTGAAGAATAAGTCAGAGGTTAGGCATCTTATTAAAAGCTTCCATGCAATGGTGTTTACACAGTTTGGTGCTCTCATTCAAACCATCAGATCCGACAATGGCCTAGAATTCAACATGCCCGAGTTTTTTGAGGAAAAAGGCATCATTCACCAAAAATCTTGCCCATATACTCCGCAGCAGAACGCAGTTGTTGAGCGCAAACATCAGCATATTCTCAACATTGCAAGAGCACTCCGGTTCCAAGCATGTCTTCCCCTTGAATTTTGGACTTACTGTGTGATGCATGCAGTGTTTATAATTAATCGATTGCCATCACCTGTTATTGAGCTTTCCATTCCATACTTTCGTCTATATGGGCAGAATCCGGATCTCACAAACATCAAAGTGTTTGGATGCTTGTGTTATGCAGCTAACCTATCTCCAAACAAACACAAAATATCTCCAAGAGGCAGGAAATCTATTTTTGTTGGTTTGCCAGCCCAAACAAAAGGGTATCTTCTTTATGACATTCTTGATGGTTATTTATTTGTCTCAAGAGATGTGACCTTCTATGAGTCACAATTTCCTTACTCGAAGGAACCAGTGCATATGGAAATCGAGAAATCTCAGACTAATGAGCCTTCTCTTCCGCTCATCCCTGTCACAACCTCTGTCGATTATGGAGTTTTTGAGCAGCAGTTAGATGGCAGTCCGTCTGTTAACACCACTCCACCAACAAATTCTCCTGCTAACTCCTCATCTCAGTTTCTAAAAACAGAAGAACAGGACCTCGCGAGTCAGCTTCAAGGATCAGAACCCCCCAGTGCTGCTAACACACAAGATTCAGAGGAGCATTGCCTTGATGTCCAAGAGGCCAACAATATTCTGATAGCTCCTAGACGGTCTGATAGGCAGCGATGCATCCCACACAAGTATCGGGATTATTACTGTGATAACACCATAAGCAAGAGATCATCCCCTCATAAATTATCTAAGGTGATGTCTATTGATAATCTCTCTCAATCTCATAGGATTTTTTCCTTGGCAGTGACATCTACAGATGAACCAACAACATACAACCAGGCTGTCCAGAGTGATTGTTGGAGAAATGCTATGAATGCTGAAATTAGAGCCCTGCAGGAAAATAATACTTGGGAGCTCACAGAATTGCCTACTGGTAAAATCCCCATCGGATGCAAATGGGTATACAAGGTTAAGCTTAAAGCCGACGGATCAATAGAGAGATATAAAGCCCGATTAGTAGCCAAGGGCTACACTCAACAGCTGGGCATTGACTATATAGAAACCTTCTCACCAGTTGCAAGAATAACCACTATTCGCATCCTCCTAGCAGTGGCTTCATCTCGTGCCTGGCATGTTCATCAACTCGATATAAACAATGCTTTTTTGCATGGTGATTTAACAGAGGAGGTCTACATGAAGCTGCCTCCTGGATTTGAGTCTGAAAATCCCAATCAAGTGTGCAAGCTATGACGTTCCCTATACGGCCTCAAACAAGCTAGTAGGCAGTGGAATGCGAAGTTGAATGAGGCTCTATCGAACATGGGATTCATACAATCAAAGTCTGACTCCTCCCTATTCACCAAAGGCTGTGATGATAATTTTGTAGCAGTCCTTGTCTACGTTGACGACATTTTGGTGGCCAGTCCAGATGTCTCTCTAATCCAAAAACTCAAAGCATATCTTGACGCTGCCTTCAAGATCAAGGACCTTGGTGAATTGGGTTATTTTCTGGGAATCGAAGCGCAAAGGAATGATGCTGGTTTAAACTTATGCCAGCGCAAATACGCCCTTGATATCTTAGCAGAAACGGGCTTCCTTGAGTGCAAGCCTGCCTCTTCTCCCATGGTCCCAGGCCTTCATTTGTGCCATGGTGATGGTGAACCGCTCACAGACTCTAGTTCATACAGAAGACTTGTTGGTCGTTTGTTGTACCTCACGGCTACAAGACCAGACATTGCATACGCTACACAACAATTAAGTCAGTTTGTCGATGCTCCAACTGACAAGCATATGAGAGCTGCACACCGTGTCTTACGGTATATCAAACAAGCTCCTGGCCAAGGCATATTCTTTCCAAGAACTGAAGCTATGCAACTTAATGTTTTTTCAGACTCCGATTGGGCTACCTGCTCTGAAACCCGTCGCTCAATTACAGGTTACTGCATTTTTCTCGGAGAGTCCTTAATCTCCTGGAAATCAAAGAAGTAAACGACGGTTTCGAGATCTTCATCCGAAGCCGAATACAGGGCTTTGGCAGCCACTGTCTGTGAGGTTCAATGGATTAATTTCATTCTCGATGATTTACACACACAAATGGCGAAGCCTGCAGCAGTCTTTTGTGACAATAAATCCGCCATTGCTATAGCTGAAAATGCGGTCTTTCATGAACGTACGAAGCATATAGAAATTGATTGTCACATCGTACAGGAGAAGGTATCTAAGGGAGCCATCAAGCTACTCTCTGTGTCTTCCTCAAACCAAGTTGCTGATGGTTTTACAAAGGCCCTTCCCACGCCACAATTCAAGTCTTTCACATCTAAGTTGAACATACAAGACTTGTATGCGCCAACTTACGGGGGGGTGTTGGAAGAAGAAGCATGCAGCAGTTATAATTAGAAGGGTCTGATTGTAAATTCCCTTTTGTCTTCATTCTGTTAGTCCGTTACAACTCCCTCTTCCCGCTTCCATCTTCATATATATTGTAATCTGCCTTCTCTAATAAATCAGTTTTTCCATTCTTCTTTACCAAAGCTCCATTACTGCTTAGTTCACATGTAAACATCTTCCATCAGGGAGAAAGAGGAAGCTGGCTAACTTCATCGGTAAAGCTCAAAAACCACCTCCGGTTTGTAATGCTCAGATATATGCACGTCACTGTTACGTGCCAGTCAATTCACGGACTCGAGGCTGTAAAGCTTAACATCACTGCCGGTAGATCTGATCATATGGTCAGAAGTTTTTTTCTGCCTGACCTTTGAATTATCCCCTTATTTAATGTGTTGCCGGAAAACTTCCATTTTCCGGCAATTGGAAACTAATTGAAGAAAAACGAATACTTGTTAACATAAGCCAGCTTCCTTTTCCTACCCGAGCTCCCGCCGGATGGGTACGACGTCGACCTTTTTTTAAAAAAAAAAAAAAGAAAAAAGAAAAAAAAGGCACAAATTGGAGAGCTGCCAATTTGAAGCCCAGGAACCTGTTGTTCAGGGATGCTGAAACTATTAAAGGAACAGAAGTGATGCTAAAATGGGATTTGGTTGTCTTAGAGACGAGAATGACAGATTAATTGCGGCGAGGGCCGAGGGGCGTCCAGTGGAGGGGGCGAAGACTTCTTTGTATTTTTTATTTTTATTTAAGGAAAAGGGATTGAATTGCAATATTCAAACTATTTCAAGGATTTATTTGAAATTCCAAAACACATAATATATATCCCTTCAATTCCTTTTTTATTTATCCCTAAATCCCTAGCATGCTTGCTTGATCGAGGAAAGCAGAACACCTAGCCGCCACTTCACTTCCAACCGGTAAGAACATCTAATTCGTCCTTTATTTTTATGTTTCAATGTTGCAAAATTTATTTTATTGATTCTGAGATTGAATTCATTAATAATGGTGGCAAGGCAATTCTCTTTTGTTCTCTCATTGTCTATAAAATTTTTCAACAACGCGTATGTCTTTGCATTCAATAGCGTAGTATATCTATGAGAAAGTGTTAAAAATAGATCTGTATAGTAGTCCTTTCTGTTATTGGATGTTGTTTTGTTTTTCCAGGATAACATCTATGGGAGAATCCAAATATGCTTACTTGCTCACTGATGACGGGCTTTATCGTGTTAATATCCCTGACTTTGATCTACCCCACCAGCCCCAATTCAGGCTCGAGTGTGTAGGTACGGAATTTGGTGCTATCCATACCTCAACTATGGGAATCTTCAGCCAAGAGCAGGATGTATATTTGTTTGGGGGCGTCTGGTATGAGTACAGGAAAGGTCCACGTTATAATAGTAGCATGTATTTTTTCAATCCTCGCCAGGTCAAGGAGAAGGAATATCCCATTAAGGATGTTGGGGAAAATTGCAACGCCAACGCGCGATCTGGAAGCCTTTTAAGACGCACGGACACTACGGATGTATGGTAGAAAGAAAATCTGTGCCGTGTTATAATAACACTACCTTAAAAGCGTTATTTACCCGGTAACGGTGCAGTTAGAATCCTGGCACGCTTTCGACCGGCTACACAGACCTACTACGGATAGCTTGCACTAGCAATCGCGTAGGCGAACCTCACTATTGCTCAGACGACGGGAGGGAGAAGGAGAATCGAATAAATGACTCGAATTCAAGGTGTCTTTTGAAACGATGTTGGAAGCTGCTATTTATAGTAAGCAGCCCCTCCATCCCACCCACATGATGGACACAATGTTTTGTCCACATTTTAGCGCTTTTGGCGCTACACCTTACAAAGGAGCACATTTTGCGCTACCATGTAATGAAATGGATTTTCCATTTCTTAATCAAATGACAAAGTCAAAAGGGGTGAGGTGGACGCTTTCATCTTTCATTTTCCCAACAATCCCCCACAAATTAAAGAGGAAAGGAAAAGGGTAAGGTCTGAGCAATACAAATGAGTTGATCCTAGTGACACTGAGTAATCTACTTCCCGGGAGTGATGTTAATCTTGAGCTCACCGGTTAGATAAATTTTGAACTCGAATGCACACACCAACTCAAAAAGCAGGTTCTACAAAAGTCAAACTCTTTGACTTCTTATGAACACCCTTAGTATTAAAGAGTGTTACGTCTGTCTCAAATATGGACTTCTACCCTGTCAAAGTCTATCACAAAACAGACTTTTAAATGCTCCCAACTATCCCCCACCATTAAAGGGATTTAGGCTGATGCTATCATTGCCTGATAACGATCAAAACAAATTTTCATGCCAGTGTATAAAACTTGAACTGTCATATAGTGACATTAAGTACTTCTCTAGACGGGAGTGAATTTGATCTTGAACTCATCGAATAGACAAAGTTTGAACTCAACGCACTTAATTTGCTTTGGTCGCCTTGAATCTCATGAGGTCATACTCACGACCCTGAGATATCCCCTGTTAGGTCTATTCTAGGATAAACCTTCAACTCTGTCAAGTCTACCTCATCGCAGACCACCATGATCGGCTACAGAGTATTTATGGGTCTCAAACCCATTTCCCTTGATGTGTCAAGGACGGCCTTTCTGTTTAGGCCCTTTGTGAAATGATCTGCAATTTTCCTTTCAGATCTCACAAAAACCATTGTGATTACCCCATTTATTATTAGCTGCCGTACAGACTCATGTCTGACTCTTATGTGTCTACGTTTCCCATTGTAGACATCGTTTTGCGCAACACAAATGACAGTTTGTGAATCACAATGTGGTGAAGGTGTTGGACACTCCCACAATTACACGGTTATCACCATGTTTCTTAGCCACTCAGCTTCTTGGGATAACCCCATTATCTTTCATAAGAGGCGGTTAGCCCTTTTCTACTCAAGTTAGGGATCTCTTTAGGTCTATCTCAACATAGACCATGGTAGCCCTTTTCCACTCAAGTTAGGGATCTCTTTAGGTCTATCTCAACATAGACCATCCCAATTGAGTATAAGGCACCAAGAGCACTTTGTACTCATGTCATTATGCGGTGAATTCATTAGGTTTGTCTCAACAAAACCACCCTTTCTCAAAGAGTTATGAATTCATTAAGAGCTGTAGCTCAACCTCACAAGTACACACACTGTCGGAATGACCAACTAGTGTACTATTTTGTAACTCTTTTCATGGCTTCGTTTGACCACAGAAGTGGGATCTACCACGAATTCATTACCACTTGGACTTCAAGTCCTTCCAATGAGTCAACGACTAATCCTCATAATTAGCCCTCAAGTAAGTTGATTCTCTTGACCAAACTTACATGCACTTTGACGAGTACTTCGTTTACTCGTAAATAATCCCTTGAGATTTTCATGTTTAACATGAAACATTCTCTTTCATCATTATTCTCAATACCACAGAGAAACTTTTGATGAAAATATAAGGAGTTTATTACCCCCACAATGCAACACTTACAAATAATTTTGTCAAACGTATTTGATCTCTTACCCAGACTGATATTTGGTGCCCAACTTTAGCTCCTTTGTAGACTGAGTTTTGCCGACTTACTTTGTGGACCATTATAGCAGCTTTGCACTCTGCCTGATACATGCTCAACAGTTGAATATATTTCAACAAACTTGGTCATCTCAATTGATCACAATTACCCTTTAACTAGGAATTATAGGTATTTCAATATGACTCAACCAAGAGTTTAAATAATATATATACAAATGCTCATTGTTAGTAAGCCATAGAAATAATGTTGTCCACATGCTACATCAAGTTGAACAACATAATCACAAATTTCACATCATATTCTTATAAGAAATTAATCTCATACAAAAGGAATATGTTTAAGTTCATATTTATTCGGAATATCTCTCAACAATGAGACTTCAGAGTTACCACTAGCACAATTTTTCCTTCCCTTAAGGAATTTAAAACTCATATAAAGCATTCATAGGATGCAAATCAATATTACTATTGCAGTACTTCAACAACTTCTATTGCAAGGCTTTGATTGTATTAGCAACATATGAAAGTCAACCTCATTTCAGGTAAAGATCAAGTGGCGCTCTAACTAGCCTGCATGATCAACACCCTACTTCTTAAAAACTCCCAGGTCGAGTGGTGAAACCGAAGTTTACTTAAAAACCATCTTCCTAGACAGAGTGTTCAAGAATGATGACTTTTCTATGTTCTCACTAAATTACAATTGAAGCCTATGATATATGCTCTTATTTTTATACAAATAATTTTGGTAAAAGATTTGAGCAATATCTATGCACGAATTATTTCAATCAATGTCATTAGTATTCAAAACACTAAAGAAATAAGTACTACTAAGTAATCAAAATCTAGACTGCTCAACTAGAATTCAGTACTAAGATAACCATACTTCATGCGAACCCTTAGAACCAGAGCAAAAATAGTTACTCAAAATAACTATTTATTTAAAGAGACTCAATACTCATCTTGTTCTGTCAGATTGACTTTTGCTGGTTTTGCCCTTGTGATGGTAGCACTGGTGTGCTCGGTGTCCTTGCTTTCTGCACGCAAAACACCTTCCTTTAAACTTCTTGATTTTTCTACTCCTTTCGTTGTAGACGGTTCTGACACTTTGATTTTCATTTCCATTGGCACCGTACTTTTCTGACAGTGATTCCCAAATGACTTTTGCCGAATCTTGTTTGACATAGATGTCGAACAATTCGTCATTCATTTGTGACAGTAGGTATCCTCTGGCTGCCGCATTGTCATTTCTGAATTGAGTCAGAGTTACACCCGGTTCTTGACCCGGAATGTAATCTATTTCAGGACTGCTTTCTCTCGATTCTTTACCCGGAGTGTAATCAGGTTCATGATTACATTTTGTAGCACCAAACGGAGAGAACACTGTTGGAGTAGGTTCAGGTGCAACTGAAAATAGCACGTAAACCAACTTTAATTGTTCAAAAAGAATAAGCATTCTTTGAGCCCATCTGTTGTAATTTCTCCCATCAAGCGCGGTGATCTTTGATAGATCCGGTATGACAGAAGGTGTCATAATGCTAAAGGTTGACTGTTGCAAATTAATGCTTTTAACTGTTGGGGAAAATTGCAACGCCAACGCGCGATCTGGAAGCCTTTTAAGACGCACGGACACTACGGATGTATGGTAGAAAGAAAATCTGTGCCGTGTTATAATAACACTACCTTAAAAGCGTTATTTGCCCGGTAACGGTGCAGTTAGAACCCTGGCACGCTTTCGACCGGCTACACAGACCTACTACGGATAGCTTGCACTAGCAATCGCGTAGGCGAACTTCACTATTGCTCAGACGACGGGAGGGAGAAAGAGAATCGAATAAATGACTCGAATTCAAGGTGTCTTTTGAAACGATGTTGGAAGCTGCTATTTATAGTAAGCAGCCCCTCCATCCCACCCACATGATGGACACAGTGTTTTGTCCACATTTTAGCGCTTTTGGCGCTACACCTTACAAAGGAGCACATTTTGCGCTACCATGTAATGAAATGGATTTTCCATTTCTTAATCAAATGACAAAGTCAAAAGGGGTGAGGTGGACGCTTTCATCTTTCATTTTCCCAACAAAGGATACTAAGTTACTTTACAAATCAAGTCTTAAGTACGAACCCATGGTTACTCCTTGTGTGTTACAAGCTAAGCATAAGACTTACTTATTCTCATGCGACGGTCCAATGAAATCACCCCGCTGCTGTTTTCAGTCCTTTGATCCAATCAAAAATTGCTTTTGCACCCTTCCAACCCCTTCCCTAGATCCCTCCAATCGGAGGTATTGTGTGAGAGCGTATTTTCTTGTTTATGATCATATATACTTGTTTATCAATGGAGGGGCCAACTCCAAGCTTCATGCGTTCTCTTTCGACACTAGATCATCAAAATGGAAGGAAATAGAGTCCTTGTTGAGCGAATTTGAAGAACGCAAAATTCCCATTCCCCATGATCACATTGGCAATATAGGGCTCTCTTCTAAGTTTAATGATAATACTCAGATTCTGGTCACCCTTGATCATGGTAGACCTACTGCGTATCGTGTTAGGATTGGTGCAGCAGGGAGTTCTCTCCACCCTAAATCCTATAGGCGTTTACTTGAATATAATTGGACCTGGCGGAGTAACACATCACACCTACTTGATATTGGAAATCAAAGGTTTTGTGTGATTTTTTCTAGGGAGGAAAAACCTCTTTTGGTTTATGCCTTCAAGATGGATTTTGCAGTTGAATATGAAAACCAGGGAAAGTCAACCTCACTTGCAAAGCCCTCCATAGAGATTCTTTGTTCCAAGAAATTTATGTGCTCCGTATGTTATTGTGTTTGTTTGGCGTAAGTACAACTATCTTTCTTGACATTTCAATATTCTTATGTGCTTCAATTCCAGTGTTTATTTCTGCTCTGATCCTACTTAATTATTGTTGTTTCACTACTGAAAATTATAGAATTTCCGACCACCTGAAAGTGATCTTAAATCAAGTTGAAAGCAAAAAGTGGTCGGAAATAATAGCAACAAAGGTTTTTCCGGATACCAAAAGTGGTCGGAACAAGGCTTTCGACTTGATTAAGATCACTTTCAGGTGGTCGGAAATTCCATAATTTCCAGTAGTGTTTATTGTGCCAATTTCTTAGTGTGGCTATATATCCCCTTGATATATATATTTGGTATATAATCTATTTTGCAGCAATGCTCCTGTATCTCAACGTTGTATTCCCTGGGAGCCAAAAAGGGAGCCAGGTGTTGTGTATCTTGAGGTACATTACATACAAAAGATAACTAGGCAATATATATAATGTTAGTTTTGAGCTCTTTTCTTCATTCACCATTCTTGTAATTGTCTTTGTGATCACACCAGGTGTAGAGGCTTGCTTTGTAAGGAGATGATGATTTATCTTTATGTTGCCACTGCTCAGTAATCCCATACAACCCAGGCTAGTTTATCTCTGTTTTTCAAGACCAAGCTAGTTGTACAAAAAAAATTCTTATGTAAAATCAAACTAGCAAATAAGAGTTATACTACATGCGCTCCAGAATTATACTCCTTATTTTTACTCAATGATTTTTCTTGTTGAGATGGTTGCTTCGATGGGTGTCCTTGTCCTCTTCTTTCTTTGCGCTAGAGGTATCAATCTGGCCACTCTTTTACAGTACAGTTACGTTGTTTTCTTAATCTTATTTTCTAATTGATCGAAGTCTTAATACTTCTTTGTAGAACACGCATTGACAAATATCTTCTAGTATTTATTCTCGTCGGTGATTGAATTTGTCAAGCAACCAAATTCAATTATTACACCTTCATTGTATCTCAAAAGTTTTTATCTGTTTATCTTGTTGCTTTAGTAAAAGATTGATAAGAAACTTTTAAGAAAGTGAACATAATTCATGCCATGAAAGTGTTATCCAATTTGTATACTCTTAATCTTTATTCTTACAAGAACAACATTGGAGAATGTCAAATATTAGACAATAGACGTTTGTTCCTCAAATAATAAATATATATATTCAGAATATAACTCATCAACACAATCCACAATATAATATAAACTACAATATAATCCAAACTAAAACACAATCTACAAAATACATATTATATATCAAGTTTACATATCCTTTGTGATCATAAAGATATTAGTTTTGAGCTATTCTCTTCATTCACCACCATTCTTGTAATTGTCTTTGTGACCACATCAAGTGTAGAGGCTTGCTTTGTAAGGAAATGATGATTTATCTTTATATTGCAACTCTGCTCAATAATCCCATACAACACACGTTGGTTTATCTTTGTTTTCCAAGACCAAGCTAGTAGTACAAAAATTTTCTATGACAAATCAAACTAGCAAATAAGAGTTATACTACATGTACAGTGTGCTCTCAAATTATACTCCCTCACTTTTACTCTATGATGTGGCAAACAAAAGTTGGATATTTTCATCCCATAAATCCTAGAAAAAATGTCTACATTAAAATTTTGTGAGAGAGAGTAGAAGTTGAGAGGAAAAAACAGAAGTCCATATAGCATTTTCTAGCAAATAATGATGTATTTGAGAACATCCCTCTATAATTGGTAGTATATATGTTTGGAATTGTACTAACACTTTTGGTTCTTGCACCCCAATTTGTAGTACTCTGCCCAGCTTCACCATGCCTTTTACTCTCTTTTCCCATCTTTATAGCCCATTGTGAATCTTTTATGATCCACGTGTTGCCTTTATTAAAAAATATATATATTTAGACCGTGTTTGGTAAATGCATGTTAGCTGATAGTTGTTAGTTGTTAGCTGATTGCGTTAATTAGAGGGTATAACTAGTTGATAACATTAGTTGATTGTAGAAAGGTGTTTGGTAAATTAGCTGTTAGCTAATAGATGTTTGGTATAATTTCTTTTCTAAAAAAGTTAATTGAAAAATTGATTTGAGCAGCTTTTTTAATTTTAGTATTTTGGAATTACAAAAAGCTAAACAACCAAACATTTATATTGATTTTTTATAACCAAATCAAATAATTAATTGTGGTACCAAGACTATGTGGTCTAATGGTACCCGGGTTGGACTTTTATTTGGAAGGTTGTGAGTTCGAGCTTTAGTGGAGGCGTTATTGGTTCTTTGTGTTTCAGTAGGTTGAGAAAATATATGAATAGATACTACATTGTAATAGAGTCAGTAACATTCCAAGATAATTGATAAGTATTTTACCAAACAAACCTTAATATAAAAATATAGGGAAATGTAATATCATTGAAAACATCATTTGATACAACATGCAAATTGTATTCTCATCGATATTTACACATGTTCCAAGTTTTTTAAAAGTCGTAGAAATTACAAATGCAATGTTCATTAAAAATGGATGATTTTTTTTTCAAACTGTTTTATAAATTCTTACTCGTGAGACGGATCAGGTCTGTTTGGTTTTGTTCGCATTTATTCTGATTCCTGGTTCAAAAATTTATTTATTTATTTTTGAAAATTTTATTTCCTAATTTCAAATCGTCTAAATTCAACAATTATTTTATTTTTTTTCGGTTCTGAATCGTAACAAGAATCATCCCTAGTATTTCAATTCGGTTGTTATAGTGTCCGGTTTGGTTCAAATTGAACCGTAGTCATCCCTACATATAATCAATAATTTATTGGAGAAGAAAAATAAATGAAATAATTATTTTAAGGGTAAAAATGTTCATGTAATACTAATCAAGTATAAACTAATTGTTACTTATAAGAGAAAGAAAAAGTGTGATACTTTTGAAGAAAAATGTACGGAGTAATATTTTTAAATAGAGCGTAATACTCATTCCGTAAATGTACGGAGTAATATTTTTAAATAGAGCGTAATACTCATTCCGTAAATGTACGGAGTAATATTTTTAAATAGAGTGTAATACTCATTCCGTCCCATTTTATATATGTGTTTGTTTTGGATAACGAAGTTTGATTGAAGTTTAGTATTAGTATATAATTTTTTATTTTATTTTTTGAAATACTCATGATTCTTTACAAGTAGTATGTGTTCTATACATTCACAGACATGCACTTTCAGCCTAAAACGGCTAAGTCCCCACTACCAGGGTTCAAATCTATGACCATTCTTTTGGAGTTGTAACCGGGATGTCATCACACTACATAGTAGTTTGCAATAGTTGACAGTATATAAAATTTATTTATTAATAACACTTGCACCATATTTAGTTCACAAAATGAAATTTGATAGAATTATAATTTACATTATAAGATCTAATCAATAAAGAATAGAATTCATATTCCATTATTTTGTTCGTTGAAAAAATGTATTTCATAATTTTATTCCAATTTTCAATTAATTATAAAAATATTGAAATAAATAATCATTTTTTTTTGAAATACTTAGGATTCTTTACAATGTAGTATCCGTTTTATACTTTTACATTTTCAGCCCAAAGAATTCATTACATGGTAGTTGGCAAATAAATAATCATTTAAAAAACAATAATTTTATTTTTTATTTTTGACCCAAAAACAATAATTTTATATTCTCGCGGATACTTAAAATTCTGCACAAGATTTTTTTTTATGCAAAAGATTTTCTTCTCCTGTAAAAAAAACTAGCTTAATATTACTGTATAAATAGCATGGGGACACTAAAAGAAGAGAACCCAAGCAAAGACGGAATTATAACTAAATTGTCAAAAGTGAGATTTGAACCCACGCCTTCTCACAAAGACCTTGGCACCTTAGAGGCTTAAACCACTCAGCCATCTTAACTTCATATTTAATTTTGATAAAGTATTTATTTATACAGATCCGTAGAAAAAGCTAAGGAAGAGAACCCATGCAAAGACGGAATTATAACTAAATTGTTAGAAGTGGGATTTGAACTCACGCCTTCTCACGAAGACCAGAACTTGAGTCTGGCGCCTTAAACCACTCGGCCATCCTGACTTCATGTGTAATTTTGATCAAGTATTTATTTATACAGATTTGTAGAAAAAGCTTTTCTAATAATAGAGTACGAGTAGCCAGACTTTTTAAATCAAATTTCACGACTCAATATCTAATCATCTCTATTTAATTGTTTAGTTTTTGGTATAACCTTTTGGAGTCATTACTAGTACCAAAATGGTTTAGTTTAAGTACCAATTAGTCTCTATACTATTGTAAAATATGGAGTATTATTTAGTCCTTCTATTTTTGTACAATAAACTTGATCAATTTAGTCCTTATACTATTAAAAATAAAATAATTAAGTAAGATTATTAACGTTAACACTCTCTCGATTGATCCTATCACATGAGATTTTTTTAGTTCAATTTATCTTTCATGTGTGGACTACAGGTTATTACAAAACAGTGTTTACTCGATATATACTACTGAATAGTGACTATGAATTTTCCTTCTTACCAAAAAAAGTATATTTAAATAAAATTATTAATGGTGTTAGTTAAGTTCTTGCAAGTGACATGATATTTTATGCACTTTATGTTAACATATTAATACTTAGTGATTTGACAGTCACATAATCGTCATATAATTTAGTCGTGTTAGCATATTTAACAGTTTAACTAATTACATTATTAGTTTAACTTAATTAATTTAGTTTTTAATAGTATAGAAACTAATTGACCAATTTTATAATATAAAGACTAAATTAAACATTTTTTAGAAAATTTCTAAAATGATCCCCCAACTACAACCCTTTCTGAAATTGGTCCTATGACTTTTAATTGAACACAATTAAACTGGTCCTCCAATTATTAGATTTAAAGCCAAATCGATTCTCCGTTAGTTGAGCGTGAACTTGGCGTCAAATTAGAAGTCAAAATAGAAAATTTAAATTGTATAATATATGTTTAGACTACCATCACTTTTGTTTTTTATCCCAAATTAACGAACAAATTGTTGAAGCTTGAAGAACCTAATCCAATATAATTAGCTTACCTTTGCTTAGCTTCAAGTAATCTTATTATATTCTCTGTCTATTTCATTACCCTCAAAATTGAACCAAACATGCTATAAAGAAAAAAAAAATTATGAATTATCTGAGTTAATATTGCTATATAAATTTAGCTCATAATATAAGTATTGACAAAAAAATATAGTAAATAATATAATTAAAATTATAAGTCAATCTTAATCAATTGGACCTAATAACAAGCTAAGTAATTACAAATCAATTGATTTACTTATTAGTAAGTAAATTTTGAATCAATTGTAAATGTATCCTCGTTGGCCATTTGCTCTTAATTAACCGATGAATCGATAAACTTTGCATGAAAAAAAATATTGTAAAGAGAAGAGAGAATGATAGACAATAAAGTAGGGCATAATTCAAATTTCATTCCACTAACATACATTGTACATTTTACAAGAGGATATATATATATATATATATATATATATATATATATATATATATATATATATATATATATGTGTGTGTGTGTGTGTGTGTGTGTGTGTGTGTGTGTGTGTGAAAGGTTCCCGTGTGGTGAAAGGTTCCCGTGCGGATGTGCGGTGGATTAATGTGCGTGAGCGTTATGCTTAATGTGCTTGGGATTTGTACTTAATGTGCGTGAATGTGTCAAATGTGGCAGAAAATATTGATGTCAGCTTCTTCCCCATCCCCAGTAGCTATTTGCCCCCTCCCTGATAATGATGATGCGGAGGCGGGCTATGGTGGTTAAAAATTATGGGAATAATACAACAGAAATCCACACTTAGCTGCTGTGCAAATTTTACTGTGCGTGCATCATATATATAAACATTCAACTGCACTGAAGGTAGCTGATAATCCAGAATCCATGGCCAAATTGAAGGAAGAAGTAACAAGAAGCTTGGGCGTTAATGTGCATGAGTTTCTGTTCTGCTTCCTTCTGAGCTCGTAATTCTGAAATACGCACGCACATTAAGCACAAATCTCACGCACATTAAACACAATACTCAAGCACATTAAGTTCAAAACTCACGCATATTAACATGACACACATTAAGTACAAATCTCAGGCACATTGAGTTCAAATCTCACGCACATTAAGTATAAATCTCACGCACATTAATCTACCGCACATCCGCACGGGAAGCAAAAAATGCACCTGATCCCTTCCCATATATATATATATATATATATATATATATATATATATATATATATATATATATATATATATATATATATATATAATAAACTATAACCGCAAACATAAATGGGGACATATATAAATATGTCCATTACATAATAATGACCACTAATGATATTATTTATAACACCCCCCTTGGACATTATTTGATTATGATCTTGCCTCGTTAAAAACTTATTAGGAAAATCCTATGGGAAAAACCTAGACAAGAAAAGGAGTACAATGTATATGGATATTTGAATACATTATATTCATGCTTTGTTAAAAACTCCACTAGGAAAACCACGTGGAAAAAACCTAATTGAAGAAAAGAGTACATGATGTTTGTAAACTCATATATTGTATTGGTTACTTCATTAAAAACCTTAACTTAAGAAAACCCTGTGGGAGAAACTTAGTTAAGAAAAAAAGAGTATAACCATAAGTCTTCAAGGCATAATCTTCAGGATTTTGGGAGTTGTCTATTTAAGTATTTATATGCAACTTCCTCATATTGACATTATTATATCATACTCATGCCTCGTTAAAAACCATACTAGAAAAACCCAATGGGAAAAACCTAGTGACGAAAAGAATACATGGTATGTATATGTTCGAAAAAGTACAACTATTAGTCTTTTAAGACCCAATCTATAGGATTGATTCGAATGAATGTACTTCCTGTCTCCCCTTGAAGATAACAATGTTCAAGTTATACATGACTTAAAGTAAAGTCATTGTTTCAAAAGAGTGTGGAGAGGGGATATAGTACAACATTCAGGTTTGTCATTAGAATTTATAAAATAATCTTGTAACTCTTCTGGAGCATATGAAGGTTTCTTGTGACTCTTCTGGAGCATACGTAGGTAGAATATTTATATAACTTGTCCACTATCCTTCAAATATATCCACTTATAATTTGTATAAGACAAACTTTATTATCTTCACATATGATAGTGGAGGTAAAGAAAAACATATATAACCAGTTGAGATTTGGCATCATGAGAGTCAAAACAAAGAGTCAATATACCCAAGTGGCCTTTGAAAATCACACATTTGCTTTATTGCATGAATTTCAAAATCTTTTTATAAATCGAAGGTACTGGAGGATATTTGAATATTATTTCAATATTCAATTATAGGAGGAGCACTAGGTGTTGCTAGTAATTTCATTGCAAGGACAATGTCAGACCTAATGCGATCATGCCCCATTCCCTATAATCACAGGGGCGATATAGAACTCTCTTCTAAGTTTAACGATAATACTCAGATTCTGATAGCCCTTGATTATGGTAGACGTAGACCTACTGCATATCGTGTTAGTTTTGGTGCAGCAGGGAGTTCTCTCGGCCCTAAATCCTATAGGTCTTTACTTGAATATAATTGGGCAGGCTCTAATAACATATCACACCTACTTGATATTGGAAATCAAAGATTTTGTGTGATTTTTTCTAGGGAGGACAAACCTCTTTTGGTGTATGCCTTCAAGATGGATTTTGCACTTGAATATGAAAACCAGGGAAAGTCAACCTCACTTGCAAAGCCCTCCATATAGATTCTCTATTCCAAGAAATTTATACCCTCCATATGTAATTGTGTTTCTTTGGTGTAAGTACAGCTATCTTTCTTTACATTTCAATATTCTTATGCGCTTCAATTGCTGTGTTTATTTCTGCTATGACCCTACTTAATTATTGTTATTTATTGTGCCAATATCTTAGTGTGGCTATATCCCCTTGATGATATTTGGTTTATAATATATTTTGCAGTTATGCTTCTGCATCTCAATGTTGTGTTCCTTGGGATAAAGTCAAGCCCAGAAATAATAATTCTAATATAGAGGAGCCACAAAGGGAGCCAGGTGTTGTGTATCTCGAGGTACATTACATACAAAAGATTACTAGTTAGCTCTTTGGCTGGCAATATAATGTTAGTTTTGAGCTCTCTTCTCTTCATTCACCATTCTTGTAATTGTCTTTGTCATCACACCAAGTGTAGAGGCTTGCTTTGTAGGGAGATGATGATTTATCTTTATGTTGCCACTGCTTAGTAATCCCATACAACCCACGCTGGTTTATCTTTGTTTTCCAAGACAAAAATTTTCTATGACAAATCAAACTAGCAAATTAGAGTTATACTACATGTGCTTCTAAATTATACTCCCTCACTTTTATTTCATGATGTGACAAACAAGAATTGAATATTTTTATTATGTGGATCCTAAAAAAGTGTATGCATTAAGAATTTGTTAGATTAAATAGAAGTTGTGAGTAAGAAACAGGAATCCGGCCATATAATATTTACGAGCAAATAATGATGTATTTGGGAACATCCCTCTACAATTGGTAGTATATATGTTTGGAATTATACTAACACTTCCAGTTCTTGCACCCCAATTTGCGATACTCTGTCCAGCTTCATCTTGCCTTTTACTCTCTTTCTCCATCTTTATAGCCCATTGTGAATCTTTTTATGATCGACATGTTGCCTTTATAAAAAAAAATAAATAAATAAATAAATAAATTTAGCTCGCATTGGCAGCTCAGTTGGTCATAGAGTTGAAGTTTGAAGGGAATGATCAGGGATTGAGTCTCATCCGCGGCAGTGTGGAAACAACCTCTTAAAGTGAGGGAGCTCTTTGTGCGCAGTAAGTAAAAGTCTAGCCTCTGTAATTCAGTTGAGTTATCATGATTTACATCATTCTAAATGTTCGGGGTGTGGAGGCCCTTGGAGTTGGGGATTCAACCTTTAGGGAAGAAAAAAAATATTTAGTATAAAAATGTAGGGAAATGTAATATCATTGAAAACCTCAATTGATACAACTATCGAATTGTACTCTCATCCATATTTACACATGTTTCAAGTAATTTTCAAGTCGTAGAAATTTTAAATGCAATGCTCATTCAAAATGGACTTTTTTTTTTTTTTTTTGTGAGGTTGTCTTATAAATATTTATTCGTGAGAAGGATCACGTCTAAATGGAAAATGAAAAATGTAATTCTAATTATGTATAAACTAATTATTACTTATAAGAAATTAAAAGTGTGATATATTTGAAGAGAAATATAATATTTTTAAATAAAGTGTAATACTTCTTTTGTACCATTTTATGTATTTTGTTTGGTTAACGAGACTTACTGAAGTTATTTAACTTTTCATAATGTTAAGTTTAATATTATATAAAATTTATTTATTTAGAAACTATATTAAAAGTACTATTAAACAAAAAAAAATAATTAAATTTAAAAATAATTAAAAATTACTCATGAGAATAAGCATAGAAGAAAGAGTTGATTTGCCTCCAAAAAAATGCGATGGTATAATAAGGCTACAATTGAACAGATCCAGCAAGCTCGAATTGATGTAACATGAAACCTATTAGTCCGAAAGCATCGTAAAGAGCAACAAAAGTCCACATACCCCCTAATTGACACCGAGTAAAATCTCCATGTGCTTTAAGACCCCATAGTAACAACAAAGAATGTGCTAAACTATTAGCAGGAGTCGAAAGTGCGACATTTAAGAAATTGCAACCTTTCATATAAGAACTAACATGAATAGTAAACAAGATAGATAAAATGGGACAGAGAGAGTATTAATAAGGATAAATTGATTGCTAGAAAAAGAGTAATACAATATTCCAGCAAGCATAATCGTGACAAAATAATTAGCTCACGATTACTAAAATTATTCATCATCTAACATTGGATGTGATTATATTTATAATAAATGTTAGATCACATATGCACATAAATAATAAATATTTGTTTCTCTACAAATTTTCCAATCAACATCCAACGAGCTTTGACTCGCTCTCATCATTATTGATTAGCTCGTCGATGAGTTGGGGTCTTCTTTTGTACGAACCTTAGCTTCATGGTGGTTCATTAGAACTGGATTCTTCTTGAGCTACTTCTTGTTGAGATGGCTACTTCAAGTCGTGGGGGTCCCCTTGTCCTCTTCTTTCAATTCTTTTAAGAAGTCGAGCTAGAGGTAGATTAGAGCTATATGGCAACTCTTTTACAATTGTTGTTACGTACGTTAAAACTGTCTTAATTGGATTGAGCTTGTTCCCTTCTTATTAATTATATTAGCTTGTGTTGTAATCAGAATGCCCATTAGCTTATATACTATAGAAGTATAGATCAAAGGAAAGTTACGTTGTTGAGAGAAAAACTAAGGGACAAAGCAAGGAAGATCTTATTCATCATCACCATCATCAAGGAAGACCTTGTGGTTTAATGGCACCCAGGTTGGATTCTCATATTGAAGGTTGTGAGTTCGAGTCTCATTATATATATTGCTAGGAATCCCGTTAGACTTCTAGGCTGTCTCATTCGAGGATATTTGTTTCCAGCGTTCACCCTATATTTCTGTTGCTTGGCTCCATTTATGAATGCATGCATGACACTGGTTTAACATAGATGCAAGGAAGAAAATTTGTGTCCAATTAAGGCCAGCTTTAACAACTGTAAAAGAGTGCGTGGCCAGATAGCTCTAATCTATACCGGCCTCTATCTCAACAAGAATTAGCTCAAGAAGGTAATCCAGTTCGAGGAAAGCAGAACGCCTAGCCGCCACTTCACTTCATCAAAATGAAAGGAAATAGGGTCCTTGTTGAGCAAAATTCCAAATCCTTATCGTCGATAATACTCAGATTCTGGTCGCCCTTATTAGGCTTGGTGCAGCAAGGAGTTCTCTCCGGCCTAAATCATATAGGTGTTTACTTGAACATAATTATGGGGTTAATAACATCTCACACCTACTTGATATTGGAAGTCAAAGGTTTTGTGTATTTTTTCTATCATATAGGTGTTTACTTGAACATAATTATGGGGTTAATAACATCTCACACCTACTTGATATTGGAAGTCAAAGGTTTTGTGTATTTTTTCTGGGTACGACAAACATATTTTGGTTTATGCCTTCAAGATGGATTTTGCAGTTGAATATGAAAACCAGGGAAAGTCAACCTCACTTGCAATGCCCTCAATACAGATTCTCTGTTCCAAGAAATTTTTTCCCTCCATAGTAAATTGTGTTTGTTTGGCGTAAGTACAACTGTCTTTCTTGACATTTCAATATTCTTATGTGCTTCAATTCCTGTGTTTATTTCTGCTCTGATCCTATTTAATTATTGTTGTTTATTGTGACATGTTGTTTATTGTGCCAATATCTTAGTGTGGCTATGGAGTGTTTGGTAAATAGTCGTTAGCTGATTGGGTTAGTGAATTTAATTAGTTGATAGCATTATCTTATTATAGAAAGTTATCCGATATGTAAATGCACTTTCTTAAAAAGTTGTTCAAAATAATTTCAGAGTAACTTTTTGAATTTTAACATTTTGAGCAATAAAAAGTTAATTAATCAAATACTTATATTATTTATTCAACCAATCAAATAGTTAATAGTTGTCAAGTAAGCTAAATTTAATTAGTAGGCTAACTATTTTACCATTCAGAGCCTATATCCCCCTTTTTTGATGATATTTGCTTTATAATCTATTTTGCAGCTATGCTCCTGCATCTCAATGTTGTGTTCCCTGGGATAAAGTCAAGCCCAGAAATAATAATTCTAAGGCTAACCTCAACCCAGCAAGTGAACCACTTGCTAGGTGAAGTGGTTAAGAAAAATATTATTCTTTTATTGTATAACTTGCCACGTAGGAAAGCAAGTTAGCAAGCACTTTCTAAGTACTTGCCACGTAGGAAAGCAAGTTAGCAAGCACTTTCTAACTTAGAAAGTGCTTGCTAATTGTTTCAAAGCTGCAAGGCGGCAGCTTTTGTCACTTTTGCTGACAAAAGCTGCTGTTTTATTTTTATTTTTTAACTTATATTATTATTTAATTATTACATTTATAATATAATATAAAAGTAGGACCATTTTAGAAAGTGAGAGAATATTGTAGGATGTAGAACAAATAGTAGATAGTTTGTAAATTTGATGATGTGGAAGTGGGACCCATTTTAGAAAGTGAGAGAAATTGTTGGGATAAGGATAGCCTAATATAAGGGAGCCAGAAAGGAAGTCAGGTGTTGTGTATCTCGACGTACAAAAGATTACTTAGTTAGCTCTTTGGGTGTCCATATAATGTTAGTTTTGAGCTCTTCTCTTCATTCACCACCATTCTTGTAATTGTCTTTGTGATCACACTAGGTGTATGTCTTCATGTATAAACCAATTGTTACTTATAAGAGAGAAAAAGTGTGATACGTTTGAAGAAAAATATAATATTTTAAAACAAAGTGTAATACTCATTTTGTCCCATTTTATGTGTTTGGTTTGGTTAAACAAATTTGACTGAAGTTTAATATTATTATATAAAATTTATTTATTTAGAAATTGCATTAAATGTACTATTAAATACATAAAAATCAAATTTAAAAATAATTAAAAATACTAATCAAAATAAGCATAGAAGAAATAGTTAGTTTGCCCGCCACAATTGGACTGATCAAGCAAGCTCAAATTGATGTAACATGAAACCTATTAGTCCCAAAGGGCCATGGAGAACAACACGGACCCCATAGTAACAACAAAGAATGTGTTAAACTATCCGCAATTGAACTGATCAAGCAAGCTCGAATTGATGTAACATGAAACCTATTAGTCCCAAAGTGCCATGGAGAGCAACACGGACCCCATTCTAACAGCAAAGAATGTGCTAAACTATTAGCAGGAGTTGAAACTATGACAGTTAAGAATTTGCGACCTTCCAAATAGGAACTAGCATGAATAGTAAACAAGACAAATAAAATGGGACAGAGGGAATACTAATCAGAGATAATTGATTGTTAAGAAAAGTGTAATACAATATTCCGGCATGCATAATCGTGATAAAATAATTAGCTCACGATTAATAAAATTATCCATCATCTAACATTGGATCGAATCAGTGATAAAAGCTGTGAGAGATATTGAATCGGTTGCTGCTTAGCTTTCTTAAGATGAGCATTGCGCCGAGTATCAAACTTTCCATGCCTAAAACAGAAAATGTAAGGGAATTCATGGCAGAGATCAAAAGTTTCACCAAAACGGACATTATGGATAAGTCTATGGTGGCAACTCTTTTTAATGAATTGTCAACCAAGAGGTATGACATAAGTAAGTCCATTGATGAGCATGTCACACATATGATTAACATTTACAATTGACTTAAGGGCCTTGAGGTCGAACTTGGTGAAAGAGTTCTTGTGGAGTTCATTCTCAAATCCTGTCAACTTCGTATGACTTATAATCATCCATGGCCTGATTTTAGGGTGTGCAAAATGCCCAAGAGTATAGATCCTCAATTTTTAGAAGATACAATATTTATTTTTGACATAGCTACTTAAGAAATTTTTTTTAAAAAATGCAATTACTCCTAAATTTATCAATTTTTTTTCCAAAATATGCAATTGAGTATGCCGCATGTCAAAACCGTTTTTTTTTTTTTTTTTCCAAAAGGGATGATGTCTCAAGCCCTAAATGTGTAGGGGATCCATTAGTGGAAGTCCAGAACCCTCACGTTGAGGCTTGGGTGATGACTTTGAGTCAAGTGATCTACCACTTGAGCTAGTCCTATAAACAATATAAAATGAAAATTTTAAAAGAAATATGTAGCACCTCTTACTTTTATTTGTCGATCCGTCTTCACTTAGCATCTATTTTTTTTTTTAATAACAGTTACACCAAATTTCGTTCACAAAGTGAAATTTGATAGAATTAAAATTTACATTATTGGATCTAATCAATTTTTGTATTCCATTATTTTGTTGGTTGAAAGAGTGTGTTTTATAATTTTATTCTAATGATCAATTAGCAGGGGAAAAGTAAGGAAGAGAACCCAACCTTGGACGAAATAGAATGTGTTTCATAATTTTATTCTAATGATCAATTAGCATGGGAAAAGTAAGGAAGAGATTAAGAGAACCCAACCAAGGACGAAATAAAGGCTAAATTGTCAGAAGTGGGATTTGAACCCACGCCTTCTCACGAAGACCAGAACTTGAGTCTGGCGCCTTAGACCACTCGGCCATCCTGACTTGTTGTTTAACTTTGATCAAATATTTATTTATACAAGGCTGTAACAAAAGCTTTTTTAATAATAAAAGGCTGTAACAAAAGCTTTCTTAATTATGAAGAAGAAATAGCCCGACTGTTTAAATCAAATTTCACGACTTTATAAGTCAATATCCGATCATCTTTATTTAATTGTTTAGTTTTTGGTGTAACATTGCGAAGTTATTACTAGTTTAATATTCAGAATTCTTCTCCCAAATGATATTCAGAATTTTATTCGTGTTAATGACATTTAATGTATATTCTATATTGAAATAATGAATAATGTGGTAATCATATCATCAAATTATGTAGATGTCATCTAGTTATATTAAGCATATTTAATGACATTAATAGTTTTACTTAATGTTCTATTTATAATAATACATGAATTAAATTGACTATTTTTATAATTTAGAGAATAAAGTAAATATTTCACAACTTTAATCTTTGACTATAATAACACAATAACATTTGATTTTACATATTATTGAATGTCATGAATGGATTATTCTACATATTTTTAATTAAATGCTAAGATAACCAATTAGATAGTGTCAAAAACCAGTTCGAACTCGGCCATTATTTTGTTTAAATGAAACCATTGTTTTTTTTATATATATTTTATTTTTAAATAACACTGTTTTTTGTATGAAATTAATATTTAATTATACAATTTTGTTTATTTTCTAAAAAATAAACCAAACATACCCAAATTATTTTCTGATGTAACCAAATAATTTTTTTTCGCCAAATACCTTATACTCAAATGACACATCTATCCATCTCTCAAGGGGAAGGTCACAAAATCGAACCCTGTGGAGGAATATGGACTCTTTAGACTGCAGTAGTTAGAGAAAATACAAAACAGATACGGAGTACTATTTTGTAATAGAATAATATTCAAAAAAAAAACATTTTTTTTCCAGAAGTCATAACGTGGAGCATATCCATTCTCGGAGGAGCAAATGGGAACGGCGAAGCAGCTAGTATCCGTAGGCCTATCGCTGCCAATTCCGCAGTCTCCGGTGGCCGGAAAACGCAACAGTCGCCTGAATTTTGTGCGGTTAACTTTACAAAGTACTGCAATCAGGGCGTCGCTGTCAATAGATGAAATTCCACCAAATGCCCTAAGGCAGGCAAGAGAATCGGGCTTGAGCAGCTGTGGCTTCAGCCTTGGCGTCGACTTGGGATTAAGTCGCACTGGCCTTGCTCTTAGCAAAGGCTTCTCTTTTCGTCCATTAACGGTAAAATATTTGTGTGCATTTGCTCCGAATCAGAGATACATATGTACTGATAGAATACTCGATGTTAGGTTCTGGAATTGAGAGGGCAGAAGCTAGAAGTTCGACTTATTGATATTGCTCAAAAACAGGTGGTCTTCAATTGAGTACCTCACTAAATTTTGGTTTTTTTATATAACTGTAAGTTAGATCATTGAAATTTGAGTCTTTGTTATAATGAGAAGGGCATTAATGCTTATAGATTAGTGATATGGAAGGAGTCTCTGTCATTTTTTTTTTCCTGGAATGTAAATATTGATGCAAATTGGATTTCATTTGTAAATTAGGAGGTTGATGAATTTATAATTGGGCTTCCATTATCTAGTGATGGGAATGAGACTCCACAATCAAATAAAGTTCGAAGCGTTGCAGGTAGACTAGCAGTTCGAGCTGCTGAGAAGTAAGAGATTGTATAAAACTATAAATACATAGAACATTGTTGGCCTTTTTCTTTTCTGCTAGTTTTGTGCTAGTATTTTTTTGTTATTTGTTGGGCAGAGGCCAGTAAAGGACCAAGTCTATCAATTAGTGGCTAGGGGAATTGTTGGGCTGTCAAGTCCCAGAGCAAAAATTGTGCAGTGGAAACTGGCTGGTGCTAGGAGGGGGAATTATTGGGCGGAGGCCGGTAAAGAACCAAGTCCATCAATTGGTGGTAGGGGATTGTTGGGCGGAGGCTTGTGAAGGGCCAAGTCCAGCACCTTGCCTCTCGAAAATGTGATGGCGGTCTATAAGGAAATAAAGTTGCGACTTTGCTACTAGCTATAGCTTTTGGCATTGTGGCAAGTGTTTGATCCTAACATTATTGATGCTCAACTTTGAGCTATTTTTTTTGCATTTTAATATTTGGCACTAATATTTGTGTTGAGACATATGAAGAAGTCACTTTGAATGAAGTCTAAAATGCAATTTGCTACTTAAGAACTCATTCTCTTGCTATCTCTGATGTATAATGAACTCAGTTCTGAACTAGGGGCTGGAGAGTATACCTGCAGGAAGAGTATGGGACATCAACTCAGGCCATGAGCCGCATGATTGATATGTATGCGTTCTTTTTATGCATCTTGATAACATTGTATTTATTACGACTCTTTGTGGTCCTTTGTATAATATCAGGAGTTTTACGTGTAGCTATGTTTTACTTTTAGCAGCGAAGTATTTTCCCATATTATTTTGGGCATGGAAAGGGGCATCAGAATTACAACTAGTGATTTTGAGTATGCTCTCAATAAGATGAGAACAGAGCTCTCTTTTTAGTTTTTACAATAAAATGCTTCATAGTTGCAGTGACTGGCAAACAAGTTGTCTCGGTACTGATTTGTCTCGTTGGTTTATGCTAGTTAGGACTCAGGAATTGGAGCCTTAAAATATCGTTCAATATTGTGTCAACTGATTGTGGTTGCATAGAAACAATTTGCCTTAAACAGACTGTAACCTACAATCAAATTGCAAGATGTATTTATCGAAGCTTCAGCTAAAAGCTTGATGCATTTTTATCTTCTTTTGTGTTAAAGATAAGAGAAGAAGAATATAATTAAGATTACTCGATCAATACAAATGCTAACTAGTCCTGTATATGTAGGGTACCTATTGATACATTTTTAATTGTAGTGATACAACATAGGTGATGGGGAACTCATGGGCTGAAGTGTGAATATCAGGAGCTCATATAACATTATGCAAGCTTTTATATCAGTTTCCTCTTACAGTTAGAGTGGAAATAGGTGTCCTTTAGAGGCATCTTTTCTTATTATTTATTTGAGATATATGCATATTATTGAAAGTTTCAGGACAAGATGCTTGCTAAATGTGCGCTGATGTATGGATTCCAGACAAAAGACGGAAATATGACCATAACTTAAACAAATCTTGTAACGTTTGTTTTTCAGGGGCCTCAGCAAATCTGCTCGTCAAGGGAAACTTGATGCCTATGCAGCTGTGGTATGCATTTAGATTTGTTCTTATTCTATAGTGCCAGTTTTGCATGACGCAAAAATAGTATATAAACTTGTAACCAGTCAAGATGGTTAAGGATGCAAACTTGTAACCAAAAGGTCACGAGTTTGAATCTCAGCCCTCTTGGTTTGAGTCGGTCAGCTATGGGCAACCTAAGCTGGTTTAACTCTTTGTGGTCCTTTGCCAGCTAGGGTCACAAGGCGGGTTTTCCTCGTCACCCAAAGAAAAAAAAAAAAAAAAAAAAAAAAGGATGTTGTGCATATGATGAATAACCTATCGTTTTTTGTTCTTTTTTTAATTGGAGGTGAGTAGTTTGTGTGCTTAGCAACTGATTCAATTATGCATTCTTTCTGGTGCAACTGCAGATGGTGCTTGAGAGATATTTCTCAGCCTCAGGTGAGGGGATAGAACTTGTTTTACCCAAACAATTGGAACTCCAAAACAAGCTCAGAAAGGCATCTTCCATGGAAGATGAATTTGATAGTTGACACATGTACACAACCATATGAGTTCATGAGTGGTAGAGCTATGAGATCCTTAATGCCAAACCTAACTGCAGTGCTAATCATGGCTCAACTATGAGTGCATAGCCTATTAGGACGGGACAAAGAGAAAAAAACTTTGATTTATATATATACATTTTATTCTCTTCTTTTCTAGTCTTTTGTTTATTAATTTTTGGAATTAAACAATAGACAGACCATTTTTAGGAGTAAATACGAAGTATTGTCCAATTGATATAACATAGACTAGGGTCCAACTTGCATTGTGGACCCTGATTCAAAAATTTTGTGTTTGTAGTTAACGTGTTATGTGTATAAATAAATTGAATGCACATAACTTTCTAACTGCCGATATATAATATGTTAATTGCATATTATGTGGTTGTAGTTAACATATTATATGTCTGTAGTTAATCTATTATGTGTCCGTAATTAACATATTATGTACTTTCTAAGTTATTTTGGATCAAGGTTCACAATGCAAAGTGAACCCTGATTCATGTTATAATTTGCCACTACAACACCTCTTCCTCTAGTAAATTCTACCAATACAACATTGTTGTTCTTCACCATACATTTTCTCAACATTGCTACAGGCTCTACTAGAACATGTCCATCTGGACTTGTGACTAGAGGCTCATTTTGCACATTCACTTGAGGTCCTTATCTTCTTTTTTACTAGGGAGACATGGAATACAAGGTGAATGAGAGTCCTTGAAGTATTTGTAACTTGTAAGCCACTGGAACAATCTTTTCTAACACCAAGTAATGCCCAAAACTTAGAGTTTAATGTTGGTTCTGATAGCTACTGAAGTTTGCTTGTATGGTTGCAACTCTCCTTTAGATCTTCTTTTGTCTGCATAATACTTCATTCTACTTTGAGCCCGTATGAGATTATCCTCCAATTGGACAATCATGTCTTTTCTATCCTAATGCCAAACCAACTGGGAATCAATTTGTGCTCCTTTTATCAAATAGTGGAAAGCATTGGTGGATGGTAACCATATAAGACCTAAAATGGGGTAAGCTACAAAGAATTGTGGAAATTGGTATTGTACCAAAACTCAGCTAGTGCTAACTACCTCAACCACTGTATAGGATTGTGAAAGGTCATGCATATCAAGTATGTCTCCAAACACTTATTCACCCTCTCAGTTTATCTATATGTTTGGGGATGGTAAGTGGTGGATAGGCTAAGTTTTACCCCAAAGCTTTTAAACACTATTTGCCAAAACTAGCTCAAGAACACTACTTTGTCTCTATTTGACACGATGTTTTGAGGAACATTTTCCATGAATAGTTTAACCACAATCTCAACTTTAATTTGTAGGGATGTGAGAGGGTCATGAAGTGGCTATACTTCTTCAATTTGTCAACAACCACCATAATGAAAACCTTACCTTGTGACTTAGGTAATCCAAACAAATATACACCCAGGTAAATACGAGTATCCTAGAGGTCCTCCTCATATATGCTTAACCCGATGGACAGATTAAGGTGTCAAGTTGGTCTAGTCGGGAGCGTCTGTAATAAGATAGTAGTTGAGTGTCAAAATGCCTCCTTTTTGTAGCAATTAATATGCCTTATATAGGCGGAGCAAGGGGCCACATGTTGAGCCCTCGACATGCTCTCCACATGTAAGGCCTTCTCCAAGGAAGGCGCCAAAACCTCCGCCATTTTGGCGTTGGTCTACAGTGCAGCGCCATATTTGGTGCTGCACGGTAGATGAAACGACAAAATGGTGTAAAAGTCTAAATGCCAAGTTTGCCCTTTGTCTTTTTTCTTAATTCCTTTTGTATCCTTATTTTATTTTTATGAATTTATATATTTTGTTAAATATATAAACATAAAATTTGAATAATTAAAAATAAATTATATCATTTGAAAGATCTTATCAAGACGACTAAAACAAGCTTAATAGTATATATAGATTAATTAAAAATTAAAGTACATAAAACATAATTTTCATAAAATTAAACTGAATACATCTGAAATTAAATAAAATATAAATGTAATGCATTGATTGAGCATCTATGTGAACAATATGATAATTTTGAAAATTAAATGTAATAGTTGTTATATGTTATATTATTGTGGAATAAAAAGATTATTTGCATTACAATTAAATTTTATATTTAAAAAATTAATGTTTTAATTTATGAGAAAACAAATTATTTTAGTGTAGAAATAGAATTTGGTGTAATGGGTTGGAGATGAATAAAATTTGGTATAAGAATATGCTGAGAATATTCATTTTGGTGTAAAATTTGGTGTAATGGGTTGGAGATGGCCTAATGTGTGGGTTTGGTGGTCCTGATAACTACGCTAAGTGTCCTAACGACACTAACGAATTGATGGAACGTGATATGACTGTGCATTCTACTTGGTAGGTGGTTGCGGGGCTAGTCGTTACTGACAAATGTCTAGTGTTAGGCCGATTTAATTACCTTTCAGAGCAGAGGTAATCGGGAACTAATCGCAGAATTCAAGTTAAGCATCAAGTGGTAACACGGTATGCAATTTGGTTGGGAGACCTGTTGACTGATATAAACACAACTCAAGCTCAAGAAGCCAAGAGATGAGTCTACAAAGCCTAGTTAGTTAGTTAGGCTCATAACTAACTTTCCCTCCCCTTTTTCCATCTTCTTTTGCTCTTGTATATAACATATGTAACTGCCATCTTCTCAATCAAGTTTTACTCTTTTCCTCTTGCATCTCTTTGTGTTCAGCTTCCTTTCTTTGCCTCTCCATGTTTATCAACATGGTATCAGAGCTTTAAGCAATGACTTGACGATCAACTGCAAATGCAAACATGGCTGGTTCATCTGCAACTACTCCAAACCCTGTTCCGGGATCTAATGCAGGTCCAGTGGTCTTTGATCCAAATGATCGTGCGAATCCCCTTAGCTTGCATCCTAATGAGAGTCTGTCACTCCAATTGGTGTCAGTACACCTAGAAGAAAGATCAAATCCAAGAACAAGATAGCACTGGTGAATGGAACCATGGTGACTCCTAATGTGAATGATCCTAAATATTTCTATTGGGATCAATGCAACACAATGGTGCTGTCATGGATCCTCAGAGTTGTATCTCTAACCATTGCACGAGATGTTTTATGGATCAACACTGCTGAGGGAGTGTGGAAAGATTTGAAGAAGCGTTTTAGCCAGCAGGATATCTTCCGGATAGCTGAAATTCAGACTGAAATTTACCAAACAAGGCAAGGTAATTCATCTGTAAATGAATTCTTCACTCAACTGAAGTTGTTGTGGGATGAACTAGCTGTGCTAAAACCTATTCCTTCTTGTGAATGCACTCCTAGCTGTAAATGTGGAACTGACATTTCTGAAAAGATTAGAACACATGTAGAAAGTGACATGTTGACAGCCTTTCTATTTGGATTAAATGAGAATTTTACTAACACTAAGAGGTAGATCATGATGATGAAGCCTCTTCCTGATGTTGGGGAGGCATTTGCCATGGTATCCCAACAAGAAAGGCAAGTAGAGATTGCTCCAAACAACTTACCAGACAACCTAGCAGGAGCTGGTGTTTTCTTCACAAAGTCTGATAACAGTAGCAGAAGACCTTACTCTAATCAGAAGCCAAAGGTTGTGTGTAGTTACTGTGGGTATACAGGGCATACTATTGAGATGTGTTACAAGAAACATGGTTATCCTCCTGGTTGGAAGCCAAGAAACAAGAACTTGGGGTCTGTAAATCAAGTCCAGTCTCCCCTGCAAGAGGCTGTTCTCATAGAAACTTGTGGTACTGTGTCTTCTGATTATGCTATAACTGAGGATGATTACAGAAGGTTCTTGAACTTCATGCAACAAGAAAAGATCAGAAACACACATACATCTCTCACCATCAATCCTCAGGTCAATACCATATCAGCTAACTTCATACCTGACACAAAGCTGGAAGGTAAGACAGTTAGTTCTGGCTTGGTTAATTCTGAATACTTATGGATTCTTGATAGTGGTGCAACACACCACATTGTTTGCAATAAAAATCTGTTACAAATGGCCAAGAAAGTGCAAGGGTTATATGTAGACTTGCCAAATGGACACCAAGCTCAGGTGTCTCACACTGGAACTATTCAATTGTCTGCTGACTTAGTTCTACATGATGTACTATGTGTAGGGGTGACCACGGTTCCGGTTCCGGTTCCGGTTCCGTGGATGGCGAAACCGGAACCGGAACCTTATAGTAACGTTCCGGTTCCGGTTGGAACCGCCGGTTCTAACCGGAATTATTAAAATATCTTTTTTAAAAACACTATAATATTTAATTTTTTTCGGTTTGGAACCAGAACCGCCGGTTCCGATTCCTTTTCATCTCAAACCGTAACCGAAACCATATTGGTTCCGGTTCAACAGTGCACGGTTCGGTTCAAACCGTCCGGTTCGAACCAAACCGTGGTCACCCCTAACTATGTGTTCCTATCTTTCAGTATAATTTGGTTTCTTTGGGAAAGCTCATAAGGAGGTCCAGTTGCAGCATATTGTTTCATTCTAATCAATGTACTATACAGGATCAGTATTGTGGGAAGATGATTGGCATGGCTGAGCTAAGGAAGGGATTCTATCAACTCATTTTTCCTACTTTCAGTCTTTGTAAACCTGTTGTTAATTCCTGTAGTTTTTGGCATGCTAGACTTGGGCATGTTTCAGAAGGAAAAATAAAGGCACTCCATGCTTTGGATAGTTCAATTTGTAATGACAAACCTGCTGTTTGTGAATTTTGTGATTTAGCTAAACAAAGAAGACTTCCTTTTCATTCCAGTTCTTCTATTGTTGCTAACTGTTTTGATCTCATACATGCTGACATCTGGGGACCATACTGTGAGCATATAGCCATTAACGTGCAATCCAACTACCAGCTTAGGCTTTTAGTTGAGATGGAGCACATGCTTCAATTTGGTATCAGAGCCAGACCAAAGGTCATGGGTTCGAATCTCAACGCTACTCGTAAGTGACTACGGTTTATCGATCCACGTGTTGGTTGGAATTCACCGTACACGTGAGGGGGCGTGTGAGCATATATCCATTAATGTGTATCTAACTATTAGCTTAAGCTTTTAGTTGAGATGGAGCACATGCTTCAATTTGGTATCAGAGCCAGACCAAAGGTCATGGGTTCGAATCTCAGCGCCACTCGTAAGCGACAACGGTTTATCGGTCCACGTGTTGGTTGGAATCCACCGTACACGTGAGGGGGCGTGTGAGCATATATAGCCATTAACGTGCAATCCAACTACCAGCTTAGGCTTTGATCAGTACTCAGATAATGGGAAGGAGTTCTTAATGTTCTGTCTGTAGCAAGAGCATTAAGGTTTCAGGCAAATCTACCTGAGGAATTTTGGGGTGACTGCATTCTCCATGCAGTTTATCTAATTAATAGACTGCCATCAGCAGCCTTAAGTGATCAAGTACCTTATCAAATATTATTCAAGAAGCATCCACAGTATCAACATCTAAGAGTGTTTGGTTGCCTAAGTTTTGCTGTCAATCCTAGCTGCCAAAGAACCAAATTCTCACCAAGAGCTAGGAGATGCATCTTTATTGGATATGCCAATGGTGTGAAAGGGTACAAGCTATTTGATGTCAAAACAAGAGAGGTGTTTATATCCAGAGATATTTCCTTTTATGAAGATACATTTCCATATAAAGAATCACATGAGTCACAGCCTAACAATCTAGTGTTACCATCTGAAAATACACCACACTTGGAGGATGATCATATCCCTTTTGCTACTGTCCAGTAGGTCCCATCTAAGACTCAACCTGTAGAGTCACACCAAGAGCTTGGAGTTTCTGTTAGTCAACCAATCTCTGAGAATGAAACACAACCAAGGAGGTCAACCAGAAGAAAAGTCACACCTAGCTATATGATGATTATAGTTGCCAAAGTGTCACTACAAGAAAAACCTCTCCTCACAGCATTTCTAATTTTTTGTGCTATGACAGGCTATCCCATGAGTTTAAGGCTTTTGTTGTGAATGTACTGGATGCAAAAGAACCAAGGAACTATAATGAAGCCATAAAAAAGGAATGTTGGAGACAAGCAATGGAAGCTGAGTTTAAAGCCTTGAAAGCCAACAATACATGGGTGATTACAGATCTGCCTCCTAACAAAGAGCCAATAGGGTGCAGATGAGTCTATAAGACTAAACTCAAAGCTGATGGAACCATTGAAAGACACAAAGCTAGGCTTGTGGCAAAAGGGTACACTCAAACACCTGGACTTGATTACTTAGACACTTTCAGTCCTGTTGTCAAAATCACAACAATCATAATGTTGCTAGCTATTGCTACCATTAAAGGTTGGTTTCTACACCAATTAGATGTCAATAATACCTTCCTACATGGAGAGCTTAATGAAGAAGTCTACATGCAATTGCCTCCTGGCCTCACTCCAACTAAACCTAGTCAAGTATGCAGGTTGGTTAAGTCCTTATATTAGGGTTGGGCACTTCGGGTTTCGGTTCAGTTATTTTCGATTTTGGTTTCGGTTTCAGTTTTTCGGTTTTAAAAAAATTAAACCATTCGGTTTAAAATAGAGTTCGGTTTCGGTTTGAAAAGTTCGGTTCGGTTCGGTTTCGGTTTCGGTTCGATTTTGGTGAAAGTCTACTATTTGAACGTTTCTTTTTTTGCCTGACCGATTGTTCAGTTGGCTCACTTGGAGTGCCACTTGAAGTGTTTTGTTGATGACAAGATGAAGAATCATTCATCTATAGTTAATATTTGAAAAATAAAAATTATTAAAACACCAAATGTTAGGACTTACACCTTGGAGTTGAGATTTGAGGACTTGAGGAGTTAAAATTATTAATTATTATAATATTTATATATAATACTAACATTTTGTACGCGTGATGCACGAAAATTTATGTCCAACATTAAAAAATTGATAAATGCAAATAATTACAGATTATAGTTCAAATTATACTTCGTAATTCCTTAAAGTGGTAAATTTTAATCATCGTATTTGAAAATTATAGAGATGAAGAAAATTTATATTTTTTTTATTAATAATATAAACAATTTTGATATAATTTATATTTTGTTTTTACAATAAATAAATAATATATCTATAATGCTAATCTAGTACCCGGTCACATATATTGGTACATGTGTGTATCTTTATATTTGAAGTGTGCAACATTTAATGAAAAATGTATACCTTTATTAGCATACAAATGTGAATATAAACATGAATGTGGCTATAGTTTAGTGGATAAAGTTCTTAGTTTATAACCAAATGAGTAAGGGTTTAAACCTCATCTTAAACATTTAATATAATATATATCTATTATTATTAATAAAAAAAAAACAAAAAAAAAAAACAAAAAAAGCAGAAAATCGATCGGTTTTTCGGTTCGGTTCGGATTTAACCCGAACCAAACCGATCGGTTTCCTCAAACCAAGTATCGATCGGTTCTTCGGTTTGAGGCCAAACCGAACCAGTTCGGATAAATCGAACCGAAATGCCCAGCCCTACCTTATATGGCCTTAAACAAGCAAGTAGACAGTGGAACATTAAACTAACTCATGAATTGTTGGGAATGGGGTTCAAGCAAGCTATTTCTGATCCTTCTCTGTTTACAAGAGGCCAAAATAATGAATTTGTAGCATTACTTGTTTATGTTGATGATGTGGTCATTGCTAGTCCTGATATAAGCCAAGTGGAACAGATTAAGAAGCATTTGGATGAAGCCTTTCACATTAAGGACTTAGGTCCTCTAAGGTTCTTTCTGGGACTAGAAGTTGCAAGAAGCAGTAAAGGAATCTCAATGACTCAGAGAAAATATACCATGGAACTGCTTGAGGAAACAAGTTTCTTACAACACTACTGAAACCTGTACACCCATAGTCACCTCAACTAAGTACAGTAGGACAATTGAAGCATGTGCTCCATCTCAACTAAAAGCCACGTGGACCGTAGTCGCTTATGGGTACTAAAAGCCACGTGGACCGTAGTCGCTTATGGGTGGCGCTGAGATTCAAACCCATGACCTTTAATCTGGCTCTGATACCAAATTGAAGCATGTGCTCCATCTCAACTAAAAGCCTAAGCTGATAGTTGGATTGCACACTAATGGCTCAACAAGGACCACTGGCAACACCTTACAGGATGCTACTCAATATAGAAAGCTTATTGGAAAGTTGTTATATCTAACCATAACTAGACCTGATATCAGTTATGCTGTACAACAACTATCTCAGTTTTTGGATTGTCCCACTGACCTACACATGCAGGCAGCTCATAGCGTATTGAGATATATCAAGGGAGCTCCAGGACAAGGCCTTTTCTTCTCAGTAAAATCTCCCTTGCAGCTCAAAGGTTTCACTAATTCAGACTGGGCAGCTTGTCCAGATACCAGGAGGTCTATTACTGGTTTTTGCATCTTCCTAGGCAATACATTGGTGTCTTGGAGATCTAAGAAACAAGTTACAATCTCAAGAAGTTCCTTTGAAGCAGAATACAGGGCTCTTGGCACAACTGCATGTGAGATCCAATGGTTAGTCTATCTATTGCAGGATCTGGGGATAAATGATAGTCCTACAGTCATGTTATTTTGTGATAGCAAACCAGCTATTGCAATAGCTGAAAATCCAGTATTCCATGAAAGGACAAAGCATATTGAAATAGATTGTCACCTAGTATGGGAGAAGCTACATAAGGGAGTACTGAAACTACTACATGTCACCACTGCAAACCAGCTTGTAGATGTCTTCACTAAGCCACATGCAGCAACTTCATTTTATGGTTTGGTGTCCAAGCTGTCTCTCCATGATATGTATGCTCCAGCTTGCGAGGGATGTTGACTGATATAAACACAACTCAAGCTCAAGAAGCCAAGGGATGAGTCTACAAAGCTTAGTTAGTTAGTTAGGCTCATAACTAACTTTCCCTCCCCTTTTTCCATCTTTTTTTGCTTTTGTATATAACAGATGTAACTGCCATCTTCTCAATCAAGTTTTACTCTTTTCCTCTTGAATCTCTTGTGTTCAGCTTCTTTTCTTTGCCTCTCCATGATTATCAACAAGACCTAGTCGAGGAATACAATCGATCCAGATCGGTCTTGATCAGATGGGGTCAGTAAGTGCGTCTAACGAGGTCACAAAGGTATGACAATGGCTCTACATGCAGTACATATTCCCTAGTACCCTCAATGAAGTAATCCATAGAGATGTTGCCCCAAGCTTAATCTAGAACAGATACAGGTTGGGGCAATTCAAGACTTGGCACATGCTCCTTCTTACATCTTTCATAGGTTTAATCTGTCACTTCCTTTTACATACTAGGCTGGTAAAACAAACTCTTAATTCTCATATATGTGGTTTGTTGACCTAAGTATCCTCCCAAGGTTGAGTTATGTAGTTTCTTAACAAGTTTCTTCCTTAATTCCCTAGTTTTCTTAATGCATAGTCTACTTTTGTACCTCAAGTGTCCATTAGAGACTACCTTCGAGCACTTGCAAGTGGAGTAGTGATAAGTGCAGTGTCTAATTGCACTTACTGCCAATACCATATCTATAACAATTTTTCTTGTATCTTGTTTAGTTTGATGACATATGGTCCTTAATCCGTTAATATTTGACTTTTATAAATTTTTAACAAAAGATGGAAAAATATGTACTTTGAGTATATCACAAAGTAGCATTCAAAATGTACTTTGTGATATACTCATAGTATTTTGGTCATATCTCTTTCATATAAAGCTTGATTGAGGTGATTAAAGTATCCATAGAAATCTAAGACAATGCTCTACAACATTTATGTTAAGAGTTTCCAAAGACTCAAAAGGCATCAGGGTTAAGTTGCTCGACTGATTTCGACATGCCTAGGGACACAACCATGTCACATGGCCAGTGTCTCCTTGACATAGTTTTAAGTTGGATTCTTAATAGGCTCAAACACACTCTTAACATGGTCATATCGTAGGGTGTGTCAACTGTCACAATATTATTTCAACCACAGTTTTAAGCCTTTTGAATGAATATTTGGTCCAAGACTTGAGAAAGACGATCCAAGACATCTTTAGGGGCTTCAACCACGTTTTGGGAGACAACTTTACATCTAGGGGAAGTATGAATCAAGATATACATATATAAATAATATGTTAACTCCATGTGCAGACATATTATGAAGTATGAATCAAGATACATATTATTTATGCACTTATAAAGAAATTGAAGGTATATAATATGTTAACTCCATGTACATAATATGTTAATTGTAAACACATAATATGTTAATTGCAGATACATATAATATGTTAATTGTAGTAGGTATATAATTTATTAACTAAATATACAAAATATGTTAACTGCATGCACATAATCTGAATGTTGTTTTGTACTAGAGTCCACGGTGCAAGATGACCTGGTCTATGGTATAATAATTGAGAATTGGAAGGAGTGGCATTATTGCATGTAGTCCTAGAGATAGGACCGTACGAATCACTTATGTTTGAGTCAAATCATACATTAAAACTCACAAATCATTAATGCAAACTTCAAGGGTTTTAATTTAGAAAGAGGAAAAAAAAATTAGTGTTGAAGGAAATTGTTTTTTTTTTGGACCCCACAAAATAAATAAATAAATAAATATATATATATATATATATATATATATATATATATATATATATATATATATATAGAAAGCTAGCACGGATCGTAATTTTATTTGTTTTCTTTCTCACCCTCTCCCCTGCCTTCTTTCCTCCCATCCTCTCCCCTTATTAAACAAAAAACTTGACACATTTTAGTAACTATTGTGGTTGCTCTTAATAATACAAGGGGAGTCTCTGAGGTACTCCCGTATAATTTTTTATTTTTTTAATCTTTTATTCTTTAATTTGTTTTTGTTATTTTTATATTAAAAAATAAATTATTAGTGCACTTATAAGTCTTTTTATATGTTATCACAAATAACAATTAACTAATTTTACAAAATACTTTTCTATAATATGTTAATACAATTCATTAGTAAAAAAATGCTAATACAATTCAGTAACTGTTAATTGTCAAATAAGGCTTTAATCTTCAAATCCTTTTGTCAAGCCCCTGGATGAAGACGTGAAGCTGCAGCAAGAGCATTTTTCAGTAATCTTCTCCAAAAAAAAAAAAAAAAAAAAAAAAGATGATGATTGTTATTAATGTAGGATTAAAAAATAAATAAATCAAAAAAGTAGGAGTGAACAATGCAATTGCGAGGCAACGGTCCAGTTTGAACGTCCGGAGTCAAATACAGCCCAAAATGCTTTATAAGGTGGAGTATTAGAAAATATACAAATCCACACGCCCAGTGGGACTCGAACCCACAATCGCTTGATTAGAAGTCAAGCGCCTTATCCATTAGGCCATGGGCGCCAATTGATATGCTTTGGTTAAATAATAATATTTTACTTTTATAAACTATTTCTAATATAAATTTTTCCTACAAATGTTGTTAGAATAATTAACATTCTGTGGTAAGATAATGTATTTTATAAGTTAGAATAAAGTACTTTATGTCTTAGAATAATAAAATATCTGAGTTAAGATAATGTATTTTATGAGTTACAATAATGTATAATGTACTTTGTGTTAGAATAATGAAATTTCTAAGATAAGATAATGTATTTTATGAGTTAAAATAATGTATTTTATGTGTTAGAATAATTCATTTTATGAACTAGAATAATATATTTCACGTGTTTTTAGACCATTGTACGGATCATGGTCCACGCAATAATGATAGTCAAACTTTCATGAGACAAAAGAAAACCATCAAGATTCCATAAGAACAAATTGCACTTTTGGTCCTGTGAGTATTAGGGTACTGACAATTTGAGTACGTGATTTTCAAAACTCCCAATTTAAATCTTTAACTATGCAATTATTGGCAGATTTGGTCCTACCGGCCAAATCGCCGGCCAATTTTCACCGGAAAAATATATACCATTTTTAATTAGTTATAAATAGGGGCAAAATAGTCATTTCGGTATTCTTCTTCCTTCTCCTCCCTTCTTCTTCGCCCTTCTTCTTCTTCCTTTGCAGCAATGGCCGAAAATTGCCACCTCCAAGCATCCATTAATTTATTTGCAATGACGGAAATAATTTGGATTATACAAGATTAATTAATTAATTAGTATCATTCTTTGTTCAGCTACTAGAAAATTAGGAAATAATTTGGTAAATCAGAAGCTCTGTTCGAACCCATTTCCTCTCCTGCAATTGAAGCCGCTGTCGGAGAATCAAATCCAGATCGACCACCGCTGGATGGATTTGGGCATGGCTGTGTTTATAAATTTGCACCTGCTGACCGGAATTGCAAAACTTGCCTCATGACCTCTAGACTACTCTGCTCAAAGATCCAATCCACTTGATCAATGTTTAAGAACTGATTGGCAAGAATAGACTGAACGCACAAAGACTCATCTTTGAAGTAGCAGATAAAAAAAAAAAAAAAAAAAAAAAAAAAAAAAAAAAAAAAAAAAAAAAGCAAATCATTGGCCCCCATGAGCGGCATGCCCGGGAGAGACACCACGTTTCCGATTCCTTCGACGGGCGTCACCGATTCATCAGGCCTAGATCCAGATCACCCGCCGCCTCGTCGGATTCTTGCGAAGGCATCAAGATTGTCAACCTGGTTCATGGTTCTTCCACACGCTTCTAGAAGAAGGATTAGAACAACGCTGCAAAAGTTTAATTAAAAATCATAGCATGTAATTAAAAGTTTATCTCAAGATGATTAATTAAAAGTTGTTCACGAAGGTGGATTTGAGCAGAATAGTCCAGCAAGTGCAATTCCGGCCAGGAGGTAAAAGGGAGGAGAAGAAAGTGATATGAAATGACCATTTTGCCCCCATAAATAAACAATTTAAAAATCTTTACATTTTTCCGGCAACATTTGGCCGGCAATTTGGCCCGGAGGACCAAATCTGCCAATAATTGCATAGTTAAAGGTTTAAATTGGGAGTTTTGAAAGTCACGTACTCAAATTGTCAGTACCCTAATACTCACATGACCAAAAGTGCAATTTGTTCATTCCATAATTACCCATGTATGCATAACACTCTTTGCGAATGTAATGATATAGAACAAGGACGTTGATTTTATGGAAAGTATGGGCTATAATTGAAGTATAGTTACTTTTCTTTATGTGAGGGACTAGAAGGAGATGATTTAGACAAGTATTGAAATAATAATGTAAAGCTAGGTTGTTATGAAATAGAGAAATTATTATGTGGACCATAATCCACACAATGTTGTGTGGACCATAACAAAAAGTACATTTTTAATATACTAAATGTACATTATTTTTGTACTAAATGTACATTATATTATATAATATACACTCAATACACAAATAATGTACATCTCCTAAATATAATGTACATTATTTTTGTATTGAATGTACATTATTTTTGTACTGAATGTACATTATTTTACAATATACAAAATATGGTCCACACATCTTTGGTCCACACAATAATGATTGTATGAAATAACACTTGAGCACAAATTCAAGGAGAAGCATCCCCTTGCCCTTGATGAAAGGATTGAAGTTGCATTGCAACAATAAAACAATACTTTCAAGAGGATATACAAGTTGTGTGTATAACAATGAACACTAGACCCAAAATTGAACTTTCTTTCTTTCTTTCTTCAAAAGACAACACATGCATAACCTACAAACAATAGAGCACTTAATATTTGAATAAGAGTATCATTTTAACGAACTACGATTCCAAGGGGCACTTGAGTATTATAGAATAAAGGTGCGGGCGAGTCTATGCATGATGCATCCTAAATCAACAGTGAGAGAGCTACAAAGGCAATAAAAGATTTCGGACCGACTATCTAGCGTTGGGACAAAACATACTTCTTTCCATCTCATCTCAGTCCTTCATAGAAGTGCAGGTGTCAGAAGCATGCTCGGTGAGAGCACTTGCTGACATTGAACTTCGCAACTTTGAGTCCCCGCCTTGGTGCAAATGTTGTTCCTGTGGCTGCAGAGGAGGCGGTTGCTGCTGCGGTGGTTGCTGCAGTTGAAACGGGCGTAGTTGATGCTGTTGAAAAGGCGGCTTTTGAGAATGTAACTGAAGCTGTTGAAGCTGATGTGCCGTTAACAATGTGTGCATGGCATGGTTGTTGGGATAAAATTGTTGCTGGCCCGCTCCAAAGGATGGACCGAAGTTCATCATCATAGGTCCACCGTTTGCCATGCCTTGCCCCGTTAAAACTTTCAGATGCTGTATCTCCTCTTTTAGAGCATCATTTAAGGCTATACAAATAAATAAGAAACATGAACAAGGAATAAGTTAAGGTAGACTCCATATATTGGAAGAGGGAAGTGCTAAATAATTTACTACTCCATATATGACGACATGAGAGGAAATTCAGTTCTCAAACTATGATTAGCCAAACCATGTAATCCTAGTTTTTTTTTTTTTTTCTCAGTAAATGTTATCCACGACCAAAATGATAGGGGATGAAAATGAAGAGAGAAAATAGGAACACTAGAAAGTATTAACAGATATTCTTACCATCTTGCAAGTGCACTTGTTGTTCCATTGTTTGCAAGCGCAGCTTAAGTTCACTGTTCTCAGCAGTCAGGCCATTTGTATCTCTCTGTGTTTGAAGAAAACGCGTCAAATATATGAATTATTTATCATGTATCGATATTAATGAAGCATAGCCATAATGGATTGTAAGAGATATAGAATTTAGAATTCATGTAAAATATAAACATGTTTGATTCATTTTTGGGTTTGTAAAGGCTGTTAATGGGACACAGGTTTGAAGTAATAATAATGGGATGGGAGGGGTAAAGGTGGGGGGTGGGTTGGGTTGGGGGTGGAGGGGCAGCCGGTGGAAAGCATGAAATGTATGATTAAATATTTCTACTCTACAATCAACAAGGAAAAAAAATAAAAAAAGAAAAGGAAAAAGGAAACATTTTAAAATCATTCTTTGAAATATGAAAAAATCAGAAGTGTCACCACTGAATTTGAAAGCAGAAAACAAATCCTTCCCAAAACAGCCCCAACCATAGCCGCCTATGGCACTCCAAAGATTAGATTAACACAATCAACTTCCATGTTTGAGTTTAAGACAAAACACATAAAAATGTATGATCAGAATCTCACATAATCTTAGGCAGGATAGGATAGTGTCAGTTAGATAAAACAATCCCATACACTGGAGAGTGCAAGATAGAAAGGAATCCTTATTTCCTGATAATCTTATCTTAGCCTTTGGCACTCCAAAGTCCAATATAGGATAAGAGTTGATAATTTTGTTTTGTACCCCACAAAATTGTACCCCGTATTTGTTTGACAAGGACAAAACTACATTAAATATTAAAACATGGAGATCAAACTGCAAATTATGTGGCCTAGCAAGCTCAAACACATTTGAAACAATTAATCTTAACCTACCCCACCAAAAGCAGCATCCCTTCCAAATGAAGGAAAATACTAATTGGAAAAGAATCACTTTTTTGTTCAACAGGTAAAAATATAAGAAAAAGAATGAAATTCATTGGAAAGAAAAGTAACAAAAACAGTTGAACTAACACAGCAAGAAAGGCAACAAAATTTACCTGCAACAAGGTCAATTGTGCAGACAATGAAGTGGCTTCTGTCTGCAGAGTCTGGACTTTTCTCTCAAGCTCAGCTATATACCTCATTTTTCTTTCCTTCGATCTAGCAGCTGATTGTCTGTTGGCCCAGATCCTGGTATACAGAAGTATAGACAAGATGTGACAGAATGCATAATTTTTTATTTATTAAATTTTAAAAAGTCACAGAATGCTTCTTTTTTTAAGAAAATTTATTTTGATGATAAACAAAATGCAAAGTTAGCAGATATGTATTCTATTTCTCCCATTTCTATCAAGTTGTTTGAGTAGAAAGCATAGGTACTGGAGGTCAGGAGTAAAAACACTTGCCCCTACAGTGAAATCAGTATTCCTTCAAACAAATGATAAGATGAAAACTATAGATAGAAAGTATGCGTGTAGGACAGTCAACTCACTTATATTCTGACCTTAAAGCAAGATATTCCAGTAAAATCATTGGTCTAAACAAGAAATGAATAGCATGATAATCTGACAATAAAATTATAGTCAACCAGTTCATGCAATGACAAAAAAAGTAATACAATCCAACATTTACAGAGATTTAACCATGTCCCACATTTTTTCATGTTGCAATAAAACTTATCTGACAGCCTGAGAAGCACCTTTACAATCTTTGCATGACTCCGAACATACTTTTGATTTTTCTCAACAGCTTGAAGCAGTCTATACAAAACACCCACCCGCTAACACTTCTCAAATTTACTGCTATTATCTAATAGACTTTCTTTACCTTTGTGTTCTAAATATGCAATGGAACCTTTAATATCACGAATCTGGATGATGATTGAAAGAATAAGGTTGATGAGGAGCAGTCTTTAAAACGATACATGGAACCTAAAAGGAAAAGTTCTTCCAGGTATGAGAAAGCCCCACCCTCCCCTAAAACAAGTTCTAAACAAAAAAGCTTAACAGAAGAAAGAAATGAAAACTGCAATACTATTTCTAAAAAGTATTTCAGGAAGACAATCAGGAATGATCATAACCAGCTGGAAGATTCAATGATTTAATAAAGCTCATTTGTTTTTCATGATTAAAAATAAATAAATAAAAAATCAAGGTTTCATCTGGATGGTTACCTCTTTGCACGCTTTGGATCGATAAGAGCAAGCTCAGCAAGCTTAGCAGCAGAGATGGCTTTCTTAGATTCAGCAGCAGATGGCTCATCAGTACCTGATGTCAGCATTTCTGGCTTGATGGTAGTTGAACCATCCATTGACTGACTGTGCTGATGTCTAACTCTGGGCTTCTCACTAACCGGAGAAGTAGAATTCTCAGCTATTGGTGTCTCCAATGCAGGAGCTTGAGATGAGCCTGGAGCTGTAGCCACTGAAGAAGATGATCCACCCACTTGCATTGCAGAAGTTGCAGATGACGAATATAACTTATCCATATCAAGGTACATAGAAAATAGATCCTCCTCAGTCTCATCAGACAACGAGGGTCCATCTAATCCACCCACAACGCCAAGATCACTATCAAAACTGATGTCATCAGGAAGAGTAACAATCTCTGAGTGAGCACGTCTGTGGCCCAATTTCTTTGGTGGGGTATCAGGCATTTGGCTGATATCCTGACTAAACCGGTTTGATTCTGAAGGCACCCCAATACCAAAGTGACCTGATTCCGAAGCACTTGCAGAGGGTCCTAATGGAGGCAAATTGAATGATCCAGAAGGCTCTGGCTTCCCACTGAAACCACTACCAGGCTGCGAAAAAAGCGAATATCTCCCTGATGGAGGCAATAAACCCCCTCCAAGGGCTGGAGATTTATCCTTATCCATGTATTAAGTCCTCAAACACCCACACAACCACTTGAGCTTATTAACCTAATGAACCCCCAATGCCTGATTTGGGAGCCCCTGATAAATACTAAAACACTTGAAGCAAAGAAACAAAAGATGAACTCAAACAACTCAGCTCAAGAAGAAGTGTTTCTTTTCACCAATATATCAAAAGATTTCCAACTACAGTTAAGCATTAAAATACTAAAGTAATAGCTACAAAGACAACCCTTACAAAACATACATATAGGCATAGATAGATAAATGTTCCGCAAGATACGTCTCCCAATGAATTCTCCTGAAACCCAGCCCTAGAAATGATGGAAAAAAAATTAATTAGAGCATAAGAAAAAAAAAAATGAACAAAATCCCAGAGAAAATCCGAAAAAATCAATCGAAATTCCAGTAATTCTGCAAATTTATTGAACAACTAACATGCAACAAGAGATAGAGAACCGAAAAATCGAGAGATCAAAGCATCATTTAATTTAACATAAACGGCAAACCAAAAAAAAAATGCACATAAGAAAATTAAACATTAAAAAAAAAATTATATAAACGAAAAAGAAGGAGAAGAAGAAGAATCTTACACGAATGTGTTCCTTATTATGAGATTAGATCTCCAGAAAAAGAACTGAGAAAAATGGGAACTTTTCACATGGCAGAGAGGGAGGGAGAAAGAGAGAAAGAGAGAAAGAGAGAGAGAGCTTCGGACAAGAGTAATATATACCCAGACAAGCGTTTCTGTGTGTTTTCGGCTATGCGAGTTGTCACCAAACTTGGTTCGACGCTACCTTATTTAGTACTCATCCTCCATTTTTGTTTTTGCTTATTTCGTTTATTAATAGGTCTAAATAGTGAATTATTTGGTAAAAAATCTTCTTTATGAAAAATGAAAAATGAAAAATGATATTTTCTCCTATAAAAAATATTATATAATATTTTTAAAAAGAAAATTTTTATTTATATTAATTACTCATAAATTGAGGTGATCTAAACGGAAGATCACATATTCGAGTTTCATCCCAATCAAAGATGTTGTCATAATAATGTTGAACGGATACTATAAATATGTTAGATTGTAAAAGAAAAAATAAAATAAAATAATAATATAATACAATAATAATACATTGCTCATAAATAATATTTTATACATAAATAGGTGATTTTAGCAGTACAATGTAATATTTGCTCATAAATAATATTTCCTACATTTCATTTTATGTATCTAGTTTGGTTAATCAAGTTTATTAAAGTTAGTTATTATAATCTTAAATTTAATATTAAGAATGTTAATTCGTTTCGTAATTATTTTGGTTACACACTTATGTCTTGTAAACGGTTAATTAATGCTTTGCCGGGTACTGTAGTACGCTTTGTGAATAGGGAAGCCAATAAAGTGGCACACTCCTTATCTAAACATGTAGCTGCTATAGTTGAACGTTCTGTCTGGAGGGATGTACCTCCTTTTTTTATTGAGCCCATGCTGGCTAATACAATCTGATTCATTTGGCTTTCAAAAAAGAATATAAAATTTATATATTTAAAAACTACATTAAAAGTACTATTAAAAATAAAAATAAAAAAAAAATTAAAAATAATTTAAAATATACTAAAAAAATATGAAAAGAAGAAAAATTTTATTTAACAAATAAATAGTAAACATGATATGTAAAATGGAACAGTTAGATAATAAGTATATTTAAATTATTATTTCAACTTGAGAAAAAAACTAAAATGTTTTTACCTAATTTACTAATTTATTTCGTTTTTTTTTTTTTTTGAAAATATAGCATCATGGTGAACTAAATTATATTATTATTTTTATTAATTTAACGTTAACCATTGAATCCCCTATATTTAGAAATCTTATTGATGAAAGAATCTAATTATAAGAATCTTATTGCAAATTGTAATAATAATTTTAGAATTATTAATTTAATACCAAAATTTTCAAAATTTAGTATAAGTTTAGTCAATTCTTTAATTGAACTCAAAAAAGGTTGACTCAACTTAAATTAACTTTAAATTTCATAAAAGGTGAATTTTTTTTTTTTCATTATAGTCAATTTAAGTCCTTAATATTTTTTAGATTAAGTTAAAAGAGTGACTAGAATTGCCGCTAATATTATTAAAATTTTTAAAATTTGAAACTAAATTACTAAATTTGAAAAGTTTGATTATAATTTTAAAAATTACATTTTTAAAAAATTTACTAATAAGCTTATTTAGACATAACAGTAAAGTAAAACATGTACCTAAACGTTGAAAAAAAAAAAAAAAACTGCATTAAAACTACAAAGTATATACCATAAATAAAAGCTCAAACCTTAATTGTTTTGTTTTTTAAATATAAAAAAATAAAACTATTTAATTAATCATCGAGCAATAAGACTCAGATACATTTATAATTAATTTCTTAAGATTAAAAATTTCTTATGAATAATATTACCATTTTATAATAAATAAATAATATTTTGATCTTCTAAAACATTTATAATGGTTTAATTTTCGTCTTGTCAAATTAATTGCAATATGTCTTCAATTATGTTATTTTGAATGTTACTGGCCCTATTACACTGTAGTATCTGTTCATATACTTTCTAAACCTACTGAAACACAAAAACCAATAACACCTCCACTGAGGCTCGAACTCATAACTTTCCAAATAAAAGCCCAACCCGGGTACCATTAGACCACATAGTCTTACTCTTCAATTATGTTTTTAATTAGCTTAAATTTCATTAAAATTTATAAATATCAATTTTAAACAATTATTAATAGCGATACATAACGGAAGAGTTAATTTCATTTCTGGTCATAGATTTATAGGTAACAATCCACTTTAAGTCATTTTTTATTAGACCATCAACTTTTGGTCCTTTATCAACCAAACAGTTTAAATATCGTTAAATACAAAGATATTTCAGTCTTTAATTATGATTTTAAAAAAAAAAAAAAACATAAAAAATATAGCGGTTCAACATACTTTGTATATATATAAAAAAAAAAAAAAAGATTGCAATGTCTTTGTATTTAATGACATTTCAATGATTTTGTTGAAGGATGACTAAAAATGGTCATACCACAATAATACTATAATTAAATGATGATGTTCTAATAAAAAAAGGACTAGATGTGAACTGTCATCTATAAATCTATGACAAAAAATGGAATTAACTCCATAACTTAATATTATATTTTTTTGTTAGAATATAAAATGTACGTGTGTTGCTAAAGTATAAAAATATTTGTGCGGAGAACCCCAACCAAGTTGATCAAATAATTGGCTTGGTAACCACAATATAAGATTCTAAGTTTGATTTTTAATGGAAGCGATAACAAATATAGGCTGGTTTACTTCATTGTAATCATTTGTTGGCTAAAGCACAATGTGAGATTTACCGAATACAAATCTTTGAGTAGTGGTTGAGGTTTCTCTAATTAAAAGAAAAAAAAAATGATATTTGTGATTAATGAGATTAACTGTATTTATAAGATTGATACGGTAAAATTAAAAAAATAATAATAATAATAATAAATGAAACATGTATGGGGACACAAAAAGCATACATATTTGACTAAGATTGATGGAATATAACAAGTATGCATGAGGATTATAAAACGTTTATTGGAAATTGTAAAAAGATAAAAATGAAATATTTATAAAAGATATGTATTTAATTAACTAGTATAACATAAGATTGATGGAATATAACATATTTAATTGACTAAGATTGATGGAATATAACAAGGAATTAATTTCACTTTTGGTCCCACGACTTTTGATGTTCTATCACTTTTGGTGCATAACTTTAAATTTTTTTAATTTTGGTGCCTAACTTTGTTATTTTTATCAGTTTTGGTCCTTTCGGCCAAATTGACAGCGAAATGTTGTTGGATTTTATATTTTTAGGGGTAAAATCATCATCCTAAGGAAGCATCTTCAATATCTAAACAAAATCACTTAAAATCATATCTATAGGTGTTTGATCGATGAAAATAATGGGGAAGACGGGCAGAAACCAGACAGATCTATGGGATTTATAGTTTCGACCATTGGCAAACTCTTTTTTTCCTCTTAATATGATTTTTCTTTTGTTTAAATATTGAAGATCTTTAAATTGGATGACGATTTTGTCCCTAAAATATAAAATCTGGAAATATTTTACCATCAATTTGGTTGGAAGGACCAAAACTGATAAAAATAATAAAATTAGGCACCAAAAGTGAAAAAATTTAAAGTTGTGCACCAAAAGTGATAAGAACTCAAAAGTCGTGGGACCAAAAGTGAAATTAATTCTATAACAAGTATACATGAAGATTATAAAACGTTTATTGGAAATTGTAAAAATATAAAAATGAAATATTTATAAAAGATATGTAATTTTTTTTTTTTTTTGAAAACCATAAAAGATATGTATTTAATTAACTAGTATAATATAACATAAGATTGATGGAATATAACATATTCCACAAAGATTGATGGAATATAACAAGTATGCATGAGGATTATAAATTTTTGGAATAAGGGTCAAATAGACCATTCAACTGCACATTAACATACAATTAGGCCATTTAACTCAAAAAAAATGCAATTGGGTCCTTAAACAACACAAACTTATGCAATTTGACCCAAAATTTACTTGTTTACCTAAACAGAAGGTTACTAATTTAAAATAATTTTTTTTAAAATAATTTTTAATTAAAATAAATATTTAAAATTAAAAAATAAAAAATAATAATAATAAAAAAACCCCGGAGACGAAGAAGTCTTTGTCTCCGGCGGGTCGCTTCGTCTCCTGGCCGGAGACGAAGTTACCTTCGTCGTCTCTGGCCATGGAGACGAAGGGACCTTCGTCTCCCTGGCCCGAGAGGCCGAGACGATGAAGGTAACTTCGTCTCCGGCCAGGAGACGAAGGGAACCGCCGGAGACGAAGACTTCTTCGTCTCCGGGGTTTTATTATTATTATTATTATTTTATTTTTTAATTTTAAATATTTATTTTAATTAAAATTATTGTAAAAAATTTATTTTTAAATTTAGTAACCTCCTATTCAGGTGAACAAGTAATTTTGGGTCAAATTGCATAAGTTTGTGTTGTTCAGGGACTCAATTGCATTCTTTTTGAGTTGGATGACCTAATTGGATGTTGGTGTGCAATTGAGTGGCCAATTTGACCCTTATTCCTAAATTTTTTATTGAAAATTGTAAAAATATAAAAATGAAATATTTATAAGCGAAAGTGACACTTTTTTTTTACCTGAATTATATGTATATAGCACATTTTCTTCTTGAATTATTCATGTAAGCCCCCTCAAGTATTTTAAAAGTGGCGGGTTTCCCTTGATATATTAAATTGATATTTTTACCTTTAAAGTAGACATTTTATTTATTTTTCTTCTCCAACAAATTATAGCTTATATGTGGGGATGACCACGGTTCAGTTCGAACTGAACCATACACTATTGCAATCGCATTGAAAGTTTCCGGTTATGATTCAAATCCAGAACCCAATATTTGGATTTCAGTTTATTAAAATCATGAATCGAAAAAACTGGATCCTGAACCGTGAACCAGCGGTTCGAATTGGAACAACTACTAGCATTAGTTTAAAATTAGAATCATAATATTTACAAAAAGTGTATGTTCTTTTTTACATTTATTCTAATTCTCACATATACATATATATGACCGCGATTTGATTTTGATTTTAGACCGCCGGTTCACGGTTCTGG